ATTCTCCAAAACCCCATCCTGGTGCCAGCAGATGGCTGCCTAGACAGAAGGCTCCTGGCTTTGACAAAATGGTGACTAGCTGCTGGGCCCAACGGAAAGGCATCTGGCTCCCAGCCTGGCCTCAGGAAATACGTGACTCCCTATTTCCCTGGCCACCTTCTCTACCAAGTTTGGTGCTGATGGAGTAGGTTCACTGTTAGCAGCAAATCTATAGGAGAACCAGCCTATTGTTGGAGGAGCAACACTTCCCGGTTTATCCTTCCATTTTCTCTGATTAGTTGCTCTGTGAGTGAATTTTCTAACACAACTTGGACCTTTCAGAGGTGGATTCACCTCCCACCCAATTGTATTTTGAGTGGGGAACACTGCTGCAAGCCAAGTGTCAGTTTTGAGTCAATTACCTTTCAGTTTTTGAAAGCACTGTTAGACCATAAGAGATAGGAGCAAAATTAGGCCATTCGGCCTATCAAGTCTGCTGTGCCATTCAATCATGGCTGATACATTTCTTAAACCCATTCTCCTGCCTTCTCCACATAATTTTTGATCACCTTATTAATTGAGAACCTATCTATCTCTCTCTTAAATATGCTCAATAACTTGGTCCTGTCAGACTCCTGTGGCAATGAGTTTCACAGATTCAACATCCCCTGGCTAAAGAAATTCCTCTTCATCTCAGGTCTAAAGGGTCGTCCCTTCACTCTGAGGCTGTGCCTTAGTTCCTAGCCTCTCTTACTGGTGGAAACATCTTCTCCACATCCATTCTATCTGGGCCTGTCTATATTCTGCAAGTTTAAATGAACTCTCCCCTCGTCCTTGCTTAATGGGGTTTAGACACACCCAGAGTCCTCAAACACTCATCATATGACAAGCCCTTCCTCCTGTAAACCTCCTCTGGACACTCCCCCCACCCCCCCAACTCCACCAAGGCCAGCACATCCATCCTTTGTTATGGGCCCAACACTGCTCACAATACTCCAAAAGTGGCCCAACCAGAGCCTTATACAGCCTCAGTAGTACATGCCTGCTCTTGCATTCTAGCCCTTTCAAAATGAATGCTAACATTGCACTTGCCTTCCTAACTGCCAACTGAACCTGCATGTTAACCTTCAGAGAATCTGAACTAGGAGTCCTTCGTCTCTTTGTGCTTTAGATTTCCGAAGCCTTTCCCGATTTAGAAAATACTACCTTTCGATTTTGAGTCCATTACTTTTTTTCCATGTTTTTTATTAATAACCTAGCCTCTGGTGTAGGAAGCTTTATTATAATTTTCGTAGATGATGTGAAAATTGCAGCATTGTAGATGATAGTAAGGGTAAATGTAGAGTTAAAGGTGACATAGGATGGTGAAATTGGACGAAGCATCACAGTAGAGAGAAGTCATACTTTCTACATTAGTGTATTGCATGTATGTTATGGCACAGAAGAATCATATCAGACTCAATATATAAATGTTGTTTCTCACTCCACACAAGCTGACAGATCTGCAGAGTTTCTCCAGTGTCTTCTGTTTTTAGCTTTGGATTGTCAGCATCCATAGAGCTTTGCTTTTATTTTTGGCTCACATCCCAGGTGCTGCCTGTTAACCCACAGCAACATGACTCAAAGGCAGGAGTGCAGCAGACATCTTAATGTTGAAACATGTAACACACCTCCATTTAGGAGATTGCAATCAGGAAATGGGGAAATTTGCCAAACTGTTACGTTGTTTTGCCATGATACCCTTGTTCATGTTTTAGATTACATGAGAAAACTTAACTTTCAACTTCTGTTATTGACTGTGAAACTGTCTAACTTTTACTGTTCTATTTACAGTGGAATTTTCCTAGTGCCATGCTGACACGAAAGGTTGGGGCAGCTTTAGCAGTAGGCTGCACTGTGGTTGTGAAACCAGCTGAAGATACTCCTCTGTCTGCATTGGCACTGGCAGAGGTGAGCTCCACTGAATACACATAGCAACAAAACAGAAATTATTTGAGACCTTGGATTTTTTGTGTTAGGGAAGAGATAAAACTAAAATGAACCTACATAGTGAATAACGCTTCAATTAATTGCATTTCCATTTAGCATCCCTCCCATCAGTTACCTGCTGAGAGATGCAGAACTTAAGACACCAATTTAGGAACACTATGAAAAGTCTTTTCTGATCCTTTGTGCAGAGCCACACCACCCCAGTAGGCTTCAAAGACTTCATTCCTTACCATATGGTGTGATGAGCATGTTGTTCTGGAATCTACCAACCTTACTCTTGCAAACCTGTTCCTCCGTTCATATGGATGGCTTTTATTTCTATGAAGCCCCCTGAACTCATCTGCTTGTATTTTGTTTACTCCCTTAAATAATCAAGTCCTTGTCTTTTCAGTGAATAGAAAACTAAAGAAACATATTCATCTTGCTAGTTCATGTATTTCAAGCTAGGGTTCATCTCATCTTCTCAATGCCAGATTCAGAACCCCAGTACAGTTCTGGAGGAACACAGCAGGCCAGGCAGCATCAGAGGAGTAGGAAAGCTGATGTTTCGGGCAGGTCCCTTTTTCTGAAGAAGGGTCCCGACCTGAAACGTCAGCTTTCCTGCTCCTCTGATGCTGCCTGGCCTGCTGTGTTCCTCCAGCTCCACACTGTATTATCTCTGACTCCAGCATCGGCAGTTCTTACTATCTCCCAGTACAGTTCTGTTCTACTTTCAGTTCCAAAGAAGAGTCATATTCAACTCAAAACATTAACTCTATTTCTCTCTCCGTACATGCTGTTAGACGTATTGAGTATTTTCTGTTTTAATAGATTTTCAGCAACTACAGTAATTTGCTGTTACTGACCTGAGAGGTTTTTCAATTACAGATAAAGTGGTACAATATACTTGTTTCAGGTAATTTGAGTGACTTAGCAGGCCGACCCTCTATATCAGTGTTGGGGGTGGTTTACAATAGTCAACTATTATGTTCTGCTCAATGGAAGAAGGGAACAGTCAACAGAGCAGAGACATCTTGTCTTTTAATGTTAGTGTCAGATACATTTGTAATGTTGACTTTGGAAGAGAAGTCAGCTCATTAACCAACTGGTTTACAGTTGGTCTCGGGTCAATGGATTATCAGTCCATGGTCTGTAAGTGAAAACGTATTGACATATTTGAGAATGTGTTGACAAGAATTGTCCATGAAACTAGTTTAATTTTGAATCATGGAGGGAGGGAACCCTAGAGTCGAATCATTCAGGATTAATAGGTTATGCTTAGGGCGTTCAGATTAGAGTAGTCAAATATTTGATTTTGTATTACTTACCATGTTGAAATAAAATTTTTTGAATAGGGCTCAGTTTAATTGTGGAGGTAATGGTTTCTCAGAAGTTAATGCAGTGCATTGCTGTTTCTTATTAGCTTGCTGATCAGGCTGGGATTCCTGCAGGAGTTTTCAATGTAATACCCTCTTCCAAGACCAAAACCCCTTCTGTAGGAGAAGTGCTTTGTACAGATCCTCTTGTTGCTGCAATCTCTTTTACTGGTTCCACCGCCACTGGAAAGGTGGGTATCTGGTGCTTGATGGTGAGCTGACTTTTATTGATGCATCTTCTTACATAGCTTTTGACCTATTTGCCAGTTTTTGATGCTTTATCCTTTGAAAATACGGTGATGTCACATGAGACATTTATGGTAATGTTTTTGTTTTCGTACTGGAACTAGTTTCCAAGATGTGCAGGATTAATGTGCTGAAATTTGACAAATCCTTGGATAATATGTAAACGGACAATAATGTACATTGTAACAATTGTTATAATATAATAAACCATTGGAATCCACTTCAATAGCGATGTTAGAAGTTGGATCGAAAGGATGACTCATTGGATGAAACTTTATAGTGTATGTAACTAGGGTTACTCTGATTCGTTTTTAATCTCATTGTATATTTTGCCAACTATTGTAATTTGGCTTAATGAATAGCCTAGACACCGAGATAAATAGGAAATGTGACCCATAGGTCTGGCTGAATAATCTGTTCAATAATATTGGTGCTTTAGTACTTTATGGATATACTTCTTGTGCATTATCTACTACTTTTTGTTATCCTTACTTAAACCAGACTCATTATCATAAGTACTAGAATTCTGGAAAGACAGATACTCTGCAATTGATCTCTGAAATATTCTTTTATCTGCACAATTATAATTGCAGTTGTAAAACTACCAATAGTCAAGTAGTTAAAAGTACATTTTTACAGACTTCATCCATAGTTCTTTGCATCTGTCTGTGAGTGTAAATTTATATAAGAAACTTATGTTGCTGCCCAAACTACTTCATCCAGTCAAGTTCAAATTAAAGAAGTGTTGAAAATAAGAGTAGGTTATTTGGCCCTTCGAGCCTACTCCACCGTTCAATATGGTTGTGATTGATTATCCATCTCAGTACCCGTTCCCACTTTCTCCTCAGATATCTCTGATCCCTGTAACCCTGAGAGCTATATCTAACTCTTTCTTGAAGATATTCGGTGCTTTGGTCTCAACTGCTCTCTGTAGCAGAGAATTCCTCTGACTCACCTCATCTCAGTCCCACCCCATTATTCTTAAACTATGATCCCTGGTTCGGATTCCCCAATCATTGGGAACATCATTTCTACATTTACTCTATCTAGCTGTTAGAATTTTATAGGTTTCAATGTGATTGCCCCTCGTTTTTCTAAACTCCAGTGAGTACAGTCTTAACTGATCCAGTTTGTCTTCATACACAAATCTTTCAATTTATGATTTGCCAACAACTTCATGACTTCACTTTTGACATCCTATTCAACTGTCATTGAAAATTACTTCCTTTCCTACTGCTTTCAACATATAACTATTTCATTCCTTTCCATTAGCTCCCTCATGTGGCACTCTTTACAACAGGCAAGAATGGACCAGAGGAAAGTCCACAACTGTTATGGAGCCCTCAGTTTTTATCCTTAGAATATCCGCCGTAGGAATCAATTACGTTCTGTCTTTTGTGAACATAATCCGTTGACCCCGTCTCGTTAATGCGAGTTGCTCTATGCTGTCATTGAAGTGCACTGTGTTATAAGTTGGAACTAAAACAATGTTTATAAATTTGTTTGTTTGAGCAAAGGTAATTTTCTTTAAAATGAGGGTAACCTGAGAATGGTCATTGTAAATCAAGATAGCTCTTCATAAATAGAAACTTTGAATAAGTATGCTGGTAGATTGCTACTGCTAAAATGAAAGAATATCGATGTGTCATTATGCTATTTAATTACAACGATGACTGCTTTGTGTAATTAGGGAATAGGTCCTCATCTATTCCCTATGTATAACAAAATTGGAACTTCTTATTCATAATTTTATTAATGCACAGAGGAAAGATGCCTGACTTACACCCTTACTGTAGATTGAGGTTGTGTGTAGAATTGTTCTTTTTCATAAGCTACAATTGCACCTTGCAGATCCTCCTACGCCAAGCATCTGATACTGTGAAGAAGGCTTCGATGGAACTTGGTGGACTGGCTCCATTCATTGTTTTTGACAATGCTGATCTTGATCGAGCTGTTGCTGGTGCCATCGCCTCCAAGTTCCGAAACTCTGGACAAGTGAGTAGTTTAAGGCAGCAAACAAGTTGAATCTTGAATTAAGTAGATCCTTTGAAAGTTACCTTAATTTTTAGTTTCACCATGAGTGTGTTGAGGCTATTTTATTCAAGAAATGGAAATGTATTCCAAAACTAAAACTGGACAAAACACTTCTCGTTCTTTCAGAAATTTGCTTTAAAGAAACATACCAGAATATTTTGAGACGTGGAACGAGGCCAAGTATGAATTGTTGTTCAAAGGCCCTGGTTATTACTCACTACATATCTACATAGAAGGGGGCTTTGGAGTATGTGCAATACTTCCCACAGCTACATCTCCCAAGGGACTACCATCAGTGAAAACATCCAGTACTGAGCCACGTCTGCCACCACTCCTTTCTTCAAGCTGCTATGACGTGTCTTTGACAACAGGGACCTTTGTTTTTGAAGTCTATTGCGTTGACCATTCCCCTTCACTATAGTCTGCGTTTAACTATCTGCTGATGTCACTTTAATACCCATGGGAGCTTCCACCAGCGATGCCTATGTTGAATCCTGGGAACCAAATGAACCAAACACCAGCATCCTCTATGAACTTGCATCAACCTACATTGAAGTCTTGCTCCTGAAAAACCAGCTCAATAGATAGGCCGGATGCCTAAAAACTATCTCCCATGACAAAATTCTCTTCTCACAGCTCCCTGTTGGCCAACAATGTTCGAAGGGTGGCTAGAATAAAAGGTAAAAGGCTGCTATCTTGGTCTCCCTAAAACACTCCCACTAACTGGGAGGAGAAAACCACTGATCGCCTGACAATGTACCTCCTTAGTCAAGGCACAAATCCATGTTGAGACTCAACAACCTGCCTGCAAGGAAGAACAAAGTCAGTAGTGAGAGAAGAAGCCCGCCCAGAGCTGCAAAATTCACTTTCCTACACAATATATCCCCACTGTGGGAAAACGTGTCGATTCAAAATAGGGCTTATCAGTTAGATGAAGACTCATCTAGCCTAACAGTCATCGCTTTCCATTCTGAGGGACTTCCAACAGCAAATGAAAATTAATATTTCACTGAAATCTATTAAATTCCTTTCAGGTCTGTGACACCATACTCAAAGTGTTTAAAACATCTTTCAAAGTTAACTCCCCTATGCCCATCAGCCAAAGTTATTTGAGAAAATTTGACATCCCTATTCTCTGGCAGCATATGTCAGTGCTCTGTCTGTAGGATTCCCGCCTTCAGTATTTCTTTTGATGCTGGTGGAAATGGAAGGGAATGAAAAGGCTCATGATTTTATAAAATCAACTGTTAGAGTCATAGAGTCCTACAGCACGGAGACAGCCCCTTCGGCCCAAACTGGTCCTCGCTGACTAAAATGTCTATCTACGCTAACCCCATTTCCCTGCACTTGGCCTATATCCTTCTAAACCTTTCCTATCCATGTATTCGTCCAAATGCCTTTTAAATGTTGTTTATATACCCGTCTGAACCATCTCCGCTGGCAGCTTATTCCATATGCGTACCACCCTCTGTATAAAAACATTGCCCCTTAAACTGATGCTCTCTAGTCCTTGATTCCCCAAACCTGGGAAAAAGACTGATTGATTGTACTCGCCCTATCCATGCCTCTCATGATCTCGTACACTTGTATAAGATACCCCCTCAGTCTCCTACGCTCTAAAGAAGAGAGGCCTAGCTTGTCCAACGTCTTCCTATAACTCAGCCCCTTGGGTCCTGGCAACATCCTGGTAAATTTTGTAAAAAAGCACATTTTTTTTATTATCTAGAACTATCACCATGAAATAATTACAAACACCCTGCAGTTGCTTTCATTGTACTGAAAATTTCAAATAATCATTGGTATAATTGTAATTCTAATATGCTTTCAGTGCATAATAATTTTTTAGTTCTGAATCAGATTTAAAGTTAGTACTTGTTTTTGTAATGTTTGAGTCATGTCGGTATTACAGTCGCTTTTAAGACTCAATAATAATGTATATAAGCACTGCACCATTTCTACTGTAGCAGTTTCATTGTATTTTTCCTATTTAGTGAGAAAATTTCACTAGTTGTTCTACCTCTCTATCATTTATTGCTGTCTGGAATCTGTTGGTGCTGCATTTATGAATATTGATGTTTTATTTTGGAATCCCGCTTGAATACAGACTTGTGTATGTGCAAATCGGTTCCTGGTGCAGGAGGGAATCCATGATATTTTTATTGAGAAGATGGCCAAGGCAATGCAGAGAGAATTGCGTGTTGGAAATGGATTTGACGAGCAGTCTACACAAGGTCCCTTAATCAATGAAAGTGCAGTGCAAAAGGTAACAAACTATAAATATTTAACCAAGGCATTCAATGCTAACAACAGTAAGAACAAATGACAGCTCACATTCTGAAAAAAACTGTCAGAAAGAGCAACTAAAGGATGAAGCACCAATTATATGACATTAACTAACAACAAATTGCATTAATGTTGTACCTTTTAATATCGTAAAATGTTCCAAGGTATATCACAGGGAAGTTCCCAAACCTAATTGGACATGAAACTACATTAGGAGCTGTCAGAACAGGTGACTGAAAACTAGGTCAAAAAAGTAGATTTTAAGACATGCCTTAGAGAGTTGAGGCATGGAGATTGAGTGAGGAAATTAGAGCCTAAACAGCTAAAAGCATGACTTCTCATGTTGGTTCTTGAAGATTTGGAGGGCCAGAAGTGGCTATTTATATAAAGAAATGGATAAGATCATGCTAAGATTTGAATTCAGTTTTTGGTTCTGAAATGCACCTTTTTACTCACAATTCTCTGTCCAGGTGGAAAGTCAGATAAGTGACGCAGTGTCTCAGGGTGCCAGCATCGTGACAGGGGGAAAGCGACACAGTTCTGGAGCAACATTCTTTGAACCAACTCTTCTTTCTAACGTCACAGTAGACATGCTTTGTGCACAGGAGGAAACATTTGGGCCTTTGGCACCAGTTCTCAAGTATGGAAATCTTCAATATTTTTTCAGCATTTGTTAGAAGTAACTTTATAATAAATTTATGGCTGTAACTGAAAGGGCCATCGTCTCAAGAGTCATGAAAAGCTTGGTTTTCTTGCCACCACAATCACAGTATTCTGGGTTGAAAGACAGGAGTTGAATGTAAATGTTGGTTGTTGCACAAGTCTTCAAGAAAAATGGTATTTTCTTGAACTCAATTTTCATAAGTTTTGATAACGAAAGTGCCCAGTTAAAGCACCTGAATTAGTACCAGTAAACCACCAGGTGTCAACTAAGACCCCCGAAATAGAAAACCAGTGTCATCACAATCAAGTATTGTATCTTTTCATTTGATTTGTGGTCAGATGGAAAACACTAATTTATTGATTGAGTTCAGGTGCAATAGAAAAGCTGTACATGGGTTGGTTACAAAGACAACTTGTGTTATGGTGTGCTGTTCTAATGAAGAGTGCTTTGCAACAGAATGGCCAGTCTGAATGTGGTGAACCCCAGAGCAATAGTCCCTAAATATACAGTTTTAATTTGGTCATGTGAGGCTTCTGTGTTTATCAGTATTGGATCAACATAACCAGGGGACCCAGACTTAAGACAATTGGCAATAGGTCAAGGTAGTGATGAGAGGAGGGTTTTTACACAGAGTTGTGATCTGCCTGAAAGGATGGGGAAAGTAGATCCAACATCAAGTTTCAATTAAATTGAATACGAGGGGCAAAAGATGTGTGTAGCTATGGGACTAACTGGGTAGTTCTTTCAAACAGCAGCACAAGCATGTCAGAATGTAGAAAATAAGAAGAGGAATTAAGGTATTTAGCCTTTCGAGCCTCTTTCCCATACACTGCAATCATTTACAATCAAACTCCATAGAGGAACGTTTGAGGACTCTGGGTCTATACTCGGTGGCGTTTAGAAGGATGAGGGGTGATCTAATTGAAACTTACAGAATACTGAATGGCCTGGACAGAGTGGATGTTGGGAAGATGCTTCCATTGGTAGGAGAGACCAGGACCCGAGGGCACAGCCTTCGAGTAAAGGGAAGACCTTTTAGAATGGAGATAAGGAGAAACTTCTTTAGCCAGAGAATCGTGAATCTATGGAATTCACTGCCAAGGAAGACTGTGGAGTCCAGGTTATTGAGTACATTTGAGACGGAGATTGATAGGTTCTTGGTTGTCAAGGGTTACTGGGAGAAAGCGGGAGAATGGGGTTGAGAAACTTACCAGCCATGATCGAATGGCGGTGCAGACTTGATGGGCTGAATGGCCTAATTTCTGCTCCTATCTCTTATGGTCTTATCCTATTTTGTCCAATATTCCTTAATATCTTTAGATAAATCTCAAATTGGCAGATCTTTGTTAAAATTAACAATTGACCTAATTTCATTTGCTATTTTGTGCCAACAACCACCATCCTTTTACATAAAACATTTACTAATTTCATTGTATGAAAGGTGCCCCACCAATCTACCTATCTGTTTCCCTTAATGACTTGAAAATTTCAACCACATCACCTCTTAACCTGCTGCAGTCTGGTCATTACTACCTTAAAATGTTTAATCTCTCCTTGTACCTTAACCCATGGAATTCGGGTGTCATTTTAGTAAACCTGCACTCTCACCAAGCCTTCTGAAGGTATGTCGCCCAGTATTCACACGTATCCACAATACAACTGTAGGTATACTTGAGCACTCTATTAGCTATAAAGCACTTTGGGATGTCCAGTGGTTGTCAAAGACAGTGTATAAATTTAAAGATGGAGTGCGCTAGGTAAAATTTCACTATACATTTAGTTTGAATTTGACTTACTCTGACTTTGGTTGTGTCACAATTATACATTCAGCATGAATGCACTAAAACCTGCAACTTTCTTTATACTACCCAAAACCATGTCAGATCAGTTTGCAGAGTACTCATGTCCTCCCTAAGTGCTTTGTGTGTCTGTACTAAATTTAATCTACAATTGTTCCATCTAGCGCCACATGGGGACTGAACAAGCTGTGCACAACCTATATTTCCTGTAAGATGTTTGGCCACACAGCACTCCTAAAGTTACCACGCAGGGCAACAAACTATCCCTGCACAGCGAATTCAAATTAGAGGGAATATTGATTCTGTTCACTTAAAATATTTTACATTTCTCAAGCATGCTCCTCAGATTCAACTGTCGTTCCTTTTTAAAGTAGTTTGGTAAAATCTTATGCTAATCATTGTATTCATTGCATTTGCGTGTTAACTCACTCGTTTGGAATAGACTCATGCTATTTTGGTTTTAAAATAGAATTAATTTTGATGTACTGAAAGTGAAATACGCAAATACTGGAAATTTTAAGTATTTAATATGTTCTGTTGTTTATATTTAACAAGTCTGGCAACATCTGTGCAGAGACAAATAGTTCTAATGTTTCAGGACAATGGCATTTTCATCAGAAGTTAGAGATGTGGGAAATTTAAAGCAAGTAAGAGGGCAGAAAAAAATGGGACAAAAAGCAGGAGAGATAAGGAATGGAAGTGGAGCAGACACAGGCAGGGATCCAAGGTGTGAAGAGTCCTTGTTGAGGTAAAAGGATGACGTATCAGAAACAGTTAAATAAAGTTCTATTGTCAGAACAGATGCAATAGAGACTTGAAGAGGATATTTACAGGATGTGGGGGTGAGGAATTGTAGTTAAGTTTGGGAATTAGTGGATATTGGTCAATAATCTACCAGACATTGGAGACAGAGATGGACCATATAGATACAAGGGAAGAATATGAATTGGAGGCAAATTTAATGAAATTGTCTACTTTCAGAGTAGGAAAGTGTACTGATATAGTCATTAATATACTGCAAAATGAGGTGAGGAAGAGAACATGAACACACATCCTCCACATATTCTACAAAAAGTAGGCAAGGCTGGAAGCCATTATAAGTTCCCCAACAGATTTAAATTATCACTTTTAATTGTTTCTTCTTAGCTGGAAAAAAATGTTAATTGACCTGAAACATCATTTCTGTTTCTCTCCCCACAGATGTTGCCTAACGTACAGAGTATTTCTAGCATTTTGGCATATCCTGCTTCAAAAAACAATTCCGCATGGAAATCCATTTACAATCAGTTTCACTCAATACCTTCCTCATAGTCCCATCCCCCCTCCTCCCTCCAGTACACTCAATGTCAAAGGTATCCGGAAGAACATGGTTAAAAAAAATTAAAGCTTCTGATTGTTTACATTACGTTTGTTATGATATCGCATTTACTGCCTGAAAAAGTAGTGGAAGAAATTTTCAAAAGGTAAATGGATGTATGATCCAAAAACAGTTGTTAGTGCTCTGGGCAGAACTAACAAAATAATTCTTTTAAAGTAGCTGGTGTCAGGTGCTGAATGGTTTCCTATGCTGTAAGATTTTATTATTCTCTGCATTCTTGTACTTACAGATTTCGGACTGAGGAAGAAGCTGTAACTATAGCTAATGCTTCCAATGTGGGTTTGGCTGGTGAGTATATCTGTGAAGCATGACACCCAGTGCTGTTTAATACTAAAAGCGTAATTGGCTGCTTTCTACTCTGACTGAATCAGGAAATAGTTTTTTGTATTGTAATAAAATCCATCCAACTTCAAACAATCACCAGTAAAGTTTATAATTTACCTTTCTAGGTTACTTTTACTCCAGAGATCATGCTCAGATTTGGCGGGTTGCAGAACAGTTAGAAGTTGGCATAGTTGGCGTAAATGAAGGTCTGTTATCAACCCCTGAGGCACCTTTCGGTGGAGTTAAACAGTCCGGCCTCGGAAGGGAAGGCTCGAAATACGGTGTTGATGACTACTTGGAAATCAAGTATGTTTGTTTTGGAAATCTGTATGTCTTGAGGGATAAATGTTAAAACTATATCAATCGCTGCTTTAGTCTCTTAACATGGAAAACAACCTTACTGCTGAAATTGTTGAATTCTTAAACAAAAATGGTGTTATTGGCACTTTTTGCTAGTTTGAAGGATATTTTTAACATTTACTCATTATGTGCTTGATATAAGGAAAAAAGCTATTTCAGCTGAATTAATCATACAGCATGGAAACAGACCCTTCGGTCCAACTCATCCGTGCCAATCAGCCATCCCAATCTGACCTAATCCCATTTGCCAGCAGTTGGCGCATATCCATCTAAACCCTTCATATCTAGATGCCTTTTACTTTGTTACAATAAAATCACTATATGATCTAATTGTAGCTTGTTTTCTCACCTCTTCTGGACATGTTAAAATAGAATCTTTAAACAAGAACACTGGGTTATACTTCAAAAACTGTAATGTTTTGGAAATGTTTGTAAACACTTGTGCAAAGTGGCTAAAAAGTACTTGTTTGTGAATTTTAACTTGTGTTCTAATTTTTATTATCTAGTTGTTAAAAGCACTGAATTCATGTCATTATTTAGTTGTGATGTGCAATAATGTAACTATTGAGAGGCATTTAGTTTCTCTGAGTTTGTCAATTGTTAAATATTTAAGAAATAAGTCCAGTTAGCAACGTATTATGTTACTTGATAACCCAGATTAAGATTTACTGCCCTAATTACATTATGGAAGTGTACACTGAATCTCGTTAATACCTTGTGGTTATTTGTAAACTGTGCGTTTTTCTCCTGAGGCAATAAATTTAGAATAAGTTTAAATGCTGCCGAGCACTTGTTTGTACAGGTGGAAAGAACAAAGTTTTATAAGCCAAAGTTAATTATCTTAGTATAGTCATCATCCAATTTATGTTGAACAATGTCAAAGTGACATGGAATCCTTAGACACCAAAGGATGTCAAACGGTAGGTTAATCACCTTTCAATAGATGAAATGTACTACATCGTCTATGGATAAGACAGCCAACTTATAAGTTGTTTCATCATTGTCAGCAGTAGCTTCAAATATCAACGCCCTAGGGTTTGTTATTCCCTTCTTAAACCTCTCCATTGCTTTACCTCATCCTGTGTATGGATTGATAAAGTTTGTTCAATGATGTTTAACCAGCTCAATTTAAACAGAGCAGAGAAGGCTGGTCAGCACATCAAGTCCAACAGGAAAATGACTGATACTTTAACTCAATGCCATAGTCCCATCCTCACTCCATACCCCTTGACATCTCTAATAGAGACATCAATAAAATGTGTTACATAATGCAAGCTGATGTTTCATTACAGTACAGATGGTCTAAATTTACTCTGAATTAAAAATAAAAGCACAAGTAAGCAAAGTGTACTATAAGATACTACTTCTGTAGAATGATTCAATTTTATAAGAATTCATGGGGTGGCACGGTGGCTCAGTGGTCAGTACTGCTGCCTCACAGCCCCAGGGACCCAGGTTCGATTCCACCCTCGGGCGACTGTCTGTGTGGAGTTTGCACATTCTCCCCATGTCTGCGTACGTTTCCTCCCACAGTCCAAAGGTGTGCAGGTTGGGTGGATTGGCGATGCTAAATTGCCCGTAGTATTCAGGGATGTGTAGATTAGGTAGGTTATGCAGGATGTGTCTGGGTGGGATGCTCTGAGTGTCGGTGTGGACTTGTTGGGCCGAAGGGCCTGTTTCCACACTGTAGCGGATTCTATGGTTTATAGTTCTGTGGTTCATACAAAGTAGCGTTTTTCCAGTTCAGATTATTCAGCAATGGAAACAAGTACTTACTTTCACAAAATAAAGATCTTCTGAGATGTACTCCTTTTCTTAAAGAAAGACTTATGAATGCTTCATGAATAGTTTTGTTCCTGAATTTTTTTCATGCAGATAAGACTTTCAAGTACAGTTGAGAGGGAGACAAATTGGGCATGTATTCTTTAAAAATAAAATTATGCAGTAACTTGTTAAAATGAGTCAGCATTACCATAAACAAGCTTGTGCTCCCTATGTCTTAACACATATGTAAATAACCTACAATAGTGTACAGCTCAGCTAATCCATATACATATCCAAATCTGGTCAAGGTATGAAATACTGCTATAATTTCTGGTCTCAACAAATTGTCAGAAAAAAAACACTGACACATTAAATGGTTCAGGTTAAACTATTCATTTAAATTTATTGTCACTTACACTACACAGAAGCAAGAATAAATCAGCAAGTTAGATAACAATAGATTGTTAGTTTGAGTTGACTGTACTGTTCTTTGTCCTTGTTTTTTAACTGACATGTACTGAACAGAAATATCTAGGCACTTTAGCCTATTGGCTCAGTACTCTTCAATGTGAGCTGTTGAACTGGCCAAAGCTATAAAATGTCTCTCTGTTGGGAGGCTTTAGAGGACAGAGCTAGTAAAAAGCCAAAATCAGATACAAACAGTGCAGTAGCACTTCACATTCAAGTATATTGGTTATATCTCATCCAGGAATAAACAAATTAATCCTCAAGACAATTATTGACCTGTTGATCAAAACACTGGCCTGCCATGTATGGCACAGACATTTGTCTACATTTCTTCACAAAAAGCTTAATTTGGAAAAATACAAAATGCACCAAATGTAATTAGCTCGGACTTCAACCAAAAAGATAGTGTATCCTAAAATTTAGAAACAACATCGTCATGGCTGACATCCATTGTTAAATTTATCACTGCACTGGACTAGTTCTTAAACATATGTCAATATAGGATTTCTGATGGGTTGAAGCTAACCAGAGCTCAGACACTGCTGTACCCTCCCTCCCTCCATTTGACAGCAGTAAGGTTTAATTTTATCTACTGTGGTCCTGAAATTCCAAAGAAACCAATCGCAGCAGTTTGCCCATCAAGACTCAACTGAGCATGAGGAATTGATTTCATCCTAGCCTCTCTTTCTTCCCCCCACCCCCCCAATAAAAGGGGAAACAAATTCAGAGGATTTGTCCATCAAATAGAGAAATCAAGTTTATAAGAAACTGAACAGTGATATTCAGTAGTAACTCTATACACAGCCACCCTGCAAAGTGATCAGTCTTCTGTCAAGGGTATAAATCAAAAAGTATTATGAGGTGTCAAATTCAATACATGACAGGATTGTGTTAGAAAAACTGAGGATGAAAAATCTGATAGGAATGATTGAAATATATTTTCCTTTGGAAAGTGAAAAACTTGCGTTTAAAGAACAAAGATAACTTTGGAAATTACTGCAGTTAGCATAATGTCAGGTTTTGCAGTAGAAAATTTGCAAACCCATTCCACTGCATGACTTGGAAACCATGGAATTGGGGCAGATATTACCAGCACTGGCAATCAGGTTTTGAGTGGAGGAGGGGTAGGGAAGGAGATACCAAAGAAATTGCCTCTTTGAATGGTGGTTGACCCCATTTCAGCCATGTCTACAAAATGCAGATGAGCAGAATGTTGGGAGAATTACAGATGATTGGATAATCGCAACACAGAAGAATGGCAACAGCATCTCTTTTCCTTGTAGCCCTGTAAATCTTTTCAGATAGTTACATTCTGAAGGCCACGATTAGCTATGCATCCACCACATTCTAACAATGTGTTCCAGGTCCTAACCACTCACTGCATAAATGTGTCCTAATGTTGCCTTTGGTTCTTTTGCCAAACACTTCAAATCATTGTACTCTGATTCCTGATCCTTTCACCATTGGAAACAGTTTATCTTTACTGGCCAAATTGCTTGTAATTTTGAACATCTCCATCAATTCTCAATCTTTTCTGTAAGTAAAACAACCCTGCCAACTAGTGGGAATTGGACAAAACTAAATGCTCCTGCACTTTGCCAAGTTGGTTCAGGCTTTCCTTCCCACTCAAGAGACTAATATCTAATCATTTGCCCACAGCACAAAATAGATGATCTGTTCATTAATCTCATTATTGTGTGCAGATGGGTGCCTAGACTCTATCCAGTACAAATGGCTATAATTCAAAAGTATTCAACTCTCTCAGTGAAAAATGAAGTAGGAATTAAAGATGACATTTACAGGAAATGCACACAATGCTCAAGCCTGTCGATAGATTATGGATTGCAATTAACGGTATTTGAATTTAGAGGAAGTACGTTTTTAATTAACTGCTTCAACCTTGATTTATCAGAGCGATCTGCCTTTTGCTGGCTGTTACTCAATTGGCATTACTAATTCTGCCTACAGCTTTGCTTTTGGCTCATTTGTATTTTGGTCCAACCAATTAGACTGAAAATTAACCACAAAGAAAAATGGTTTTTCATTTATCATATTTGCACAGCTAACTGTACAAGAAACAATATTGCTGCACTGCAGCACAAACACAGATAGGAACTGATGCTTTCATATTGTGAGAAGGAGAATTTAAATTTAATATCTAGATCCATTTGTTCTACCGTATGAATTAACCTTTTGTTTTTGAAAACTTTAATATTTAGCATAGGATGTGAAACGCACCATTCATATATTCTACTAGTTGTTTATTACCAATTTGGATTTCCATATGAAGAAATTGTTCCATGAAAATAATTCATGTGACCTTTCTCAAAGTTGGAGCTGCTCTTATTCTCACATTTACACACTGTTATTACAGACTTAATGGAAATTCCTATAAACATAAATCTACAGGAAACTGAAATTACAGAATCCCTCAATAGATCAGGTCTGACAAACCTTTCTGCTGTCTGTGTGTCGACATCCAAGATGAACAATCAAGAGCTGAAAAAAAGTTTCCTTCAGTAGTTTCCAGAAAAAAATCTCTTCCAGAGTACATCAACATTTTGAAAAAAAGGTTTTAAATGTTCATTAATAATTCCAAGTGGGTACGTGTACCCAGCTTTGCACCGCAGTAGAAGTGCATCACAAGTAGACCACAGTTGCTTATTCAGCAAATTTATCTGTTTTGGGGATGATAATTAAAGGAGACTCCATTCTTCAGCGAGCCATTCACAACAACTTTATGGTTGTCCTCGATGGTTTCTCTGCTAAAGAGTGTGTTCTGATCACTATCAAATTCCGATTCAGATATCATTAGACTTGAGTTATGTTCTGTGCTTTTGTGTTTCACACCTGAAGCAGAAAATCATAATGCAAAGTCAACAGCAGATATAAGTCTCAATTTTGTTCCATTTCAGTATTTGCATTTTGATTAAACACATTTCTTTCTATTTGAACATCGCAAAAAAGAAGCACCTTTGACAACCTCAATGTCTCATGATTCTTTACAATCACTGTAATACCTTTGAAGGGTAGGCATGCTTGGAGGAAATACAGCAAAACAATTATGAACAGAAATGTAATTTAAAAAAAAAACTGATCATTAAGTTAACAAGGTATAGAGCTGGATAAACACAGCAGGCCAAGCAGCATCAGAGGAGCAGGAAGGCTGACGTTTTGGGCCTAGACCCTTCTTCAGAAATGGGGGAGGGGAAGGGGATTCTGAAATAAATAGGGAGAGAGGGGCAGGCAGATAGAAGATGGATAGAGCAGAAGATAGGTGGAGAGGAGACAGGCAGGGCAAAGAGGCGGGGATGGAGCCAGTAAAGGTAAGTGTAGGTGGGGAGTTAGGGAGGCGATAGGTCAGTCCAGAGAGGATGGACAGGTCAAGGAGGCGGGATGAGGTTAGTAGGTCGGAGATGGGGGTGGGGATTGAGGTGGGAGGAAGGACAGGTTAGGGAGGCGGGGACAAACTGGGTTGGTTTTGGGATGCGGTAGGGGGAGGGGAGATTTTGAAACTTGTGAAGTCCACATTGATACCGTTGGGCTGCAGGGTTCCCAAGCGGAATATGAGGTGCTGTTCCTGCAACCTTCAGGTGGCATCATTGTGGTACTGCAGGAGGCCCAGGATGGACATGTCATCTGAGGAATGGGAGGGGGAGTTGAAATGGTTCGCGACTGGGAGGTGCAGTTGTTTAGTGCGAACCGAGCGTAGGTGTTCTGCAAAGCAGTCCCCAAGCCTCCGCTTGGTTTCCCCGATGTAGAGGAGGCCACAACGGGAACAGCGGATACAGTATACCACATTAGCAGATGTGCAGGTGAACATCTGCTTGATGTGGAAAGTCTTCTTGGGGCCTGGGATGGGGGTGAGGGGGTAGATGTAGGGGCAGGTGTAGCACTTCCTGCGGTTGCAGGGAAAAGTGCTGGGTGTGGTGGGGCTGGAGGGGTGTGTGGAGCAGACAAGGGAGTCATGGAGAGAGTGGTCCCTCCGGAAAGCAGATAAGGGTGGGGAGGGAAAAATGTCTTTGGTGGTGAGGTCGGATTGCAGATGGCAGAAGTGTCGGAGGATCCGGAGGTTGGTGGGGTGGTACGTGAGGACGAGGAGGATTCTGTTTTGGTTGTTATTGCGGGGAGGGGGTGTGAGGGATGAGTTGTCATGTTGTCATTAAGTTATGTGGGTTGAGGGATAAATATTTGCCAAGACACCAGGAAGAACTTGCTCCTCTTTGAAATAGCACCATGGGAAATTTATCCACCTGAAAGAGAGAGACAGGGCCTCACTTTCACACCTCATCCAATATCAGCACCACCAGTAACAGACCTCAGAACTGCATTGCAATATCAGCCTGGATTATTTGCCAAATCCTTCGAGTGATAGTTAAACCTATAATCATTTGAATAAGGTGCAAAAATGTTTCCACAATATGGGCTCCCTTATGTTTATTTTTAAAAAGTGAGCCATTGTACATTTATCTGGGGCACTGTGGCATGACTATCATTCTAGTAACTTGGAGGCATTTCAACATTGCTCTGATTAATAACCTTAGAATGCAAAAGTATTTCTAAATGCTTATTCAAACTATTTTTGGAGCTTGTTTTGCCTTCAAAGAGGATCTTCTGGTTGTATACATCCTGGTATTGCTATAAATACAGCACTAACCATATTTTGGCCTCAATGCCATTTGTTCCTGATCATCCATATTGTCTAAGATGGTGTACTTATTTTTCTTCCTTACTTTGGTTCGTTTTCTGGTGAAAAAGAAAAGTTGTGTCACAAAATTGAAAGTTGTTCCAGTAATGTGTTACTTTTTCTTCATGGATCCTAATGAATGATGCAGAAGTTCTTCCTTATCATATACAATACCTCTTACAGCAACAGATACAAATCCAGCATATTCCGCCAACAGTGATGATCATTAGAAACACCGACAAAATCACATACAACACACTCCAGTCTGTGAACAGAAAAATGAACAAAGGTTATGAAAGCAGCTGAACCACTCTTAAAAATTTGCATTTATATTTCTATATCACCTTTCACAACCCCAGAACATCCCAAAGTGCTTCACTGCCAATGCAGTACATTTTAACATGAATAATTTTTCATGTAGGAATTGTAGCCAATTTGCATGTAAAGACCCAGGAACACCAATAGGATCATCATCAGATAATATTGCTTTATTGATGTCAGTCAAGGGATAATTATTAACCAGGACTTAGGAAAAAACTATACCATATTGCAATTGGATCTGGAAGGATCTGAAAGAGTTAATACTTAATTGAGTGCAATTAAGCAATGACGACTTTGTAGGAAAGTAGGATCTAATGGGAGACAGATCAAAGGCTAGGTTCTACAAAATAGTTGATGCAGTAATGTAGAGACCATTCTAAATAGCTACAGAGATGCATTAAACTACATCTTATTTACATGACTCTTTCCATTCACGCACACCAGTGCACATAAGACCCTGAAGAGCCCATTAAGTTAGAAGAAAAGATTAGCAGCCCACATAACATGGTGATCAGCGTGGAATCTGAAGATTTAACAGCACCAGGCCCAACGGGGCAAAAATGCTGGTAAACTCAAAAGATTTTAATGAAATGAAGTAATGCTGAATGCTGAGGATGGCAATCCTCCAAAGAAAAGTTGTGGCAATTCTCATTGCCGAAGAATTCGACAAAGAAGAAGACAGAAAGCAATTCAGATGTGATAAGAGACCTGCTGGAGCAGAAGAGATATAGGTTCTATCATGAGGTTGTGGTCTGTGGCAGTGGTCCCAAGTGCAAAATTACCCAGTGAGCATAAAGACATCAGCAATTGTGATTGTACGGTATGATGTGCCTGCATGCAAAACAAAACTTTTCACTGCACCTAGGTACATGTGACAATAATAAATCAAATCAAATCAAAGACTAAAAATCCCTGGTACAAAGGGGGAACCATTAAGAGAGCAGTAATTCAGGCTGAGCAGCTGAGAATGTAGAAAATGTTGCAGCTTAGATCAGGAGTCACTTGGCTTTTCAATGTGACCAGTTGTTGTGGAAGCAGGAGATCTTAGCATAGTAACTACCACTTGATTTGTTCCTGGGCAGGTGGCAGCAGCCTTGGGTGTAGACAATACAGCAGAAACATTTGGCCTGCAAAGAGAAAGCATCCATCTCTCTCTCTCTCGCGCTTCTCTCTGGAGAAGTGAAAGAAAATCCCTACAGTAATTAGCACACCTTCCCTCTAAGTTTCTTTCTCTGCAAACCCCCTGCTGAAAGAAAATAGGCAAAAACACGTTCAGAGGCACTGAAAGGGTGAATCCTCAACCAACTGATAATTGGTGTGTTCACAACCCCACATCATCAGCAGGGAACTGAAAGGAACTAATAGATCCAAAGGAAAACCTTGATTGATGTCTGTGATCTGGACTGGTGCCAGAATTGTATTTCTCTGACTATTTTTGTCCTTCACCATCCATAATACTGGTTTAAAAACTGAAAGAACTGTGGATGCTGTAAATCAGGAACAAAAACAAAGTTGCTGGAGAAGCTCAGCAGATCTGGCAGCATCTGTGAAAGTAAAAAACAGAGTTAACGTTTCGGGTCCAGTGACGGGTTCTGAGGAAGCGTCACCGGACCCGAAATGTTAATTCTGTTTTCTCCTTCACATAATACTGGTTTCTTGTCTATTTGTGTTTGTTTGTATGTGGATGCAAATATTAAAAAAGTGGTAGAGTTTAGGTTATAGAATTATAGATTAGTATTTCAACTTGTCTACTTTTTGACATTGATTTAAAAAACTGCTTGATTACAACAAATACCTATTTTGTTAATGAATATGCTGTACATATTGTTTAACTTGGATTAGACAGATAGGTAAAATTGGGCAGTTTGGTAATAACATTTTCACATTTGTGATGATTCCAGAAATAGTGAAAATTGATTTCCAACACAACACAAGAGAGTTGTGACACAGCATAGAAGGAGGTTATTCTGCCATCATGTTTGTATTAGGTTTTTGAGAATTCCACAGCCTAGTCTTTTTACCAAAACTCTGTAAACTATTCCACTTCTGTAATGTCCCATTGCCCTGGGAAAGCTCCTGAGGAATCTGATACCATCTATGGCATTTCAGATCCTAACGATACTCAGTGTGAAATCAATTCTCCTAATTTCTAATCTAGACATTTAACAATGATTTTAAAACTATGGCCTCTGTTACCAACCTAGTTACTACAGAAACAGTTTCTCCCTACTTGTTCTATCAAAATATCTCGTAGTTTTGAACATTGCTAAGAAATCTCCAGTTAACCTTCTCTGCCCTAAGGAAAACAATTATATATTTTCAGCCTGTCCACACATATCTGAAAGCCCTCATCCCAGGAGTTGTCCTAATATATGCTTTCCAAGACTTTGACATCCAAGCACTTTGCCCATAATTAGACACAATATTGTAGCAGAGGTCTAACCAGGGACTTGCAAAGGTTAAGTATGGCTTTCTTGATTTCGTAATAAGTCCCCCTATTTAAAAAGCCAAGTATCCCATACAATTTCTTAACTGCCTTATCAACTGGCCCTGCCAACTCTGTAAATGTGTAAATATATACCTGCAGGTTCCTGCTCTTATTAGATATTATTAATATAAGGTAATGTATTATTGTAAGGTAATAATGCAGTTACCTGCAGTAATGCAGGTTATATTGCTTCTTCATGTAGTTCTTCTCAGAGTGGATTTCACTTCACATTTATCCACTTGAAATTGACATCTGCCATTTTCTCACGTTGTCTAAAACCTCCTGAAATCTGCTACTATCCTCTTCTCAATTTTTACCTGCAGACTTCAAAATGTTATTCCCTATATCCAGGTCATTTATGTATAAGAAAATCAATGTTTCTAATGGCAACTCCCGACGACTGCACTCCACACCTCTCTTTAGCCAGAGAAATGTCCTTATATCATTACTCTCTGTTGCCTAACACTTTGCCCATTACATACACAAGTTACTACAAACACTTTAATTTCATGTGCTATCTTTTGAATATGTCTATGTGAATATTTTGAATATGTGGTGAGATGTTCTATTAGATGTTCATCAAATAGACAGAAACATTGCAACACTAAAATGACTCCATGAAACCAATGAATTTATGTTTGACATAACTGCCTGAAATTTCTCTTTGGCATTTTAAGAAATGCTCAGTCATTCGCGTAAGAAGATAATGTCTTCTGTGACAGCACAAGAGAAGGCATTTGCGACAGCTTTGGCCAGACACCATTGTTTCAGCTCAGGAACATGGGGCACTCTCTCATCCAATTGAAAATGAGAAATTGTCAGAATAGAATGTTATATTAATTCCTTTGATACATAGCTATGAACACCGTGAGAACTGACACCTCTAAATCAACCCAAGTTGCTTGATCGAATAGGACTTAGATCATAGACAGTTTTATGTGAACAGAGTTTCCCAATAAAAGCAGGGTTATTTTCTCAGCACAATGTATTGAGTAGAGAATCACAATGTAATAAACCTGTCACTCTGTTACTCCAATGAGGTCTCCATTCCCGACTGTTGAGGGAATCAACCAGCCATGTCCATTCTAGTTCGAACTTGCAGTGGCTCTAAATGCAGCCCTCAATGAGAGCTCACTGACCAGACATCAAGGTGCAGATTTTCACTTTTATTAGTTGCAATGGAACAAACAGCAGGTGGGTTTTGTAAAGGGTGTAGGTGCCCCTTAACAGATTAGCACCCAGGTGGTGTGTACAAAAATCTACCCTCATGTGTGTTGTCCTGAATGGAACATGTTACTCATCCAGGACTATATGTTGACAACTTTGTTCAGCTCATGGTATGTCCTCTAGTTCCCATAAGTTAGAGATAAATGCACTACAAATTCTAAATGCTGGAGATTCATTGGATGGATGTCCTCCTACTGTCTGCATGACAAGTAAACTGATACGTTGTCACTTAGCACACAACTGCAATGCCACAGTAAATGTAGCACCCGACGAACATATTTACAGAACAATTAGTTCCTAACTCCTTCTGTACTTCTGGCACCAGTAATACAGAAGGATCCAGACCTGAAACGTCAGCTTTCCTGCTCTGATGCTTGGCCTGCTGTGTTCATCCAGCTCTACACCTTGTTATCTCAGATTCTCCAACATCGGCAGTTCCTACTATCTCTGAATCATTTTGTCAAAGCTCTTCATCTTGCACTCATCAGGATATTTCAACTCAACAAAACAGGTGATAGATATTTGCTGTTTCATTTATTACTGCAATGCCCTGACCACAGCCAAATTTAAACAATGCCTAACTGTTCACTATCAATCAGCATTCTTCAAGGCTATGTCTCTACCAATCAGAGTCCACTTTTCGACCAATCAGCACTCTCATGAAATGTATGAGAATTTAATGTATATTCTTGCAAAACGTTTTCATGTGAGTGCAAGACAAAATCCTTTGACAAAGCGTGACTTCTTTCAGCGTCAGCTATATAACAGCTCACCCATGCTTTCAAGTGAAACTACTCACCGCAGTTGCTTTCTCCATCATCGAAGTAACGCTGTATCAGATTCTCCATCCAGAATGGGTAGCAGACACAACGCTTAGTGAATGGGTCACAGTGCCCGTGACCTGAGCACTTCAGAAAGCAGACTGCAAACAGAACAGGCCATGAAAGGTCATTATCCGCAAATCCTTAACTATGTTTTTAATGAAACCCATGATTAAAACTGGAAGGTTTAAAAACCAGATAATTCATGGAGCATCTCCTGTTGTCACAGACCATTACCAATGGAATATGAGAAAGAACAGGATTATTGCGTTACAAAGCGTGGAGTGACAAATTGCGGCAAAGCAAATAACCATTAAGATGTATGGTATGGGATGTTGCTTTATCCTCGGTTTTATTTTAACTCTCTTCCAACCAGAACTGGGAAAATATAAAGGATGGGAATGTCTGTCCTCCCCTGTGGTGAGTTTCGGGGGGCATTTATTCAAACTGAAAGTTAGCAGGTGGAAATCTGTCATCTTTATGCTCCCACCCCCAATACGGCTGGGGCCAATTGAGGCCCACAGATAACCAATTAATGCCCTTGTATGGACCTCATCCCATGGTCCCCACCTCATGGTCACCCACCCCACCATCATTCATGTCCAGCCTGGGATCTATTGGTTATGGGAAAGGTCCACTGCTATCCTGTTCAATACCCGAGTGCAACAAGATTTTGCCGGCCTTCTCGAAAAGAGACAACACAGAATTCTTGCTAGCTTTGTAGCCAGAGGCTGAAAGCCCCGTTGTCTGTAGAAGGTTCCAACCAAGTTCTCATTCTGTGCCATTAATACAGGTCCATCTGCTAAGCAATGAACTAATGGATTCAATTTTCATCTAACAACTTCAACAAAGTATATCATTGCACCAGTGAACTGCAATACTGTTTGTGGCAGTTGTCTTTTATTAAAATCTCTTCGGTTTACAATGATCAATTGTAGGCCAATTCACCTAATGTTAGTAGTTGAGTGAAAGTGGATAAGAGCTGGAATTCCCTTATAGTTTCGAAATTCAGCTTTTGACAGAAATTGGGAACAAATTTAGGTGGAACTTGGGCAAGTATCAGCTAACAAGTTAAACTCAGTATGAAGTTTCTAAAGGAAAGCTAGTAATTGATCTGAAATGTTCATTCAGTTTCTTCCTACATACACCTTGCCTGATCTGCTACACATTTCCACCATTTTCTGTTTTTATTTCAGATTTCCAGCACCCATACTTTGGTATGGCAAAAGGACAGTTTTGTGCAAACTAGTAGGTTGACTTAAGTCATGCATTCTGGAGGTGCTTGTAAAAATAAAAAAGAAGAGTTTAAAAAAGGATAGCCCATACCCTCAGGCCCTGAAACATGCACAAAGTACTTTAAAATGGACATCCTTTTGCTAACATCTGTTATAAATTCCAAAGTTGGTATTTGCAGTTGAAACTTGCCACTTCACCTACCAACAGTAGTGATTCAGTATCTGCACTGATGAAATAGTGTAATTGTCAAATTTAATGCCCCCCCATAAAGTAACATTATAAACCTCTTTCAAATATGGTTTTAAATGTAAGAATTTATAATTGGAAAAGTTGATGGGAAAACAAAGAAGATTCAAGATATGTAGAAAAGAAAATAGCAGAGACCACTATCAATTCGCTCAAATTAAAACCCTTTGTAAACATGGGGACAAAGATGATTGATTGATGGGCAAATGCAGCAATACATCCAGATAAAACTAGACTCCACTGATACAACAGTCAATATCATACTTATGTCAGTCTTCAAGGAATGTTATATACTTATATTCATGTTATTAATAAGACTTTGATCCTATAATGGGATTTCAATAAGTGGAACCATTCAACAAGGTAAATTGTGACGAAATTGCAACTCACCAACCGTATCTATCCTCAGAGTTTTAAAAAGCAGGAAGTCCACTTTTTCTCTCATGAGCTGTTTCTGCAAACTCCTGGCCACATCCACACCTTTGTACACCTTGTACGGCTGCCCACCTTGAACGTAGAATGTCAACAATGTACTGCAGAACACACAATATAAAGCCATCAATCAATGACATAATAAAGATGGTTCCGTACTGTCCAACATGCAGAAGAAAGCCTTTAGTTATTATCATAAATTTTAATTCAAATAATGGAACAGTTGTTCATCATTAGAGGGGTCTGTCAACCTAATCTCCAAAGACAGCAAAAGAACAATTTACAAGACACAAACTCCTATCCACAAACCCAATGTTTTGCTGTATTTAAAACAAAGAAAGGCTACAGGGTATGTATTTCCCAAGAGAAAGCACTCACAATCCTCTAAGTGAATCATGCCTGAGAGATGAACTGATTTTCCACTTCACGCGCCCTTATCAAACTGGGATAGGATTCATAAAGTATCATAAATATTAACTATCAATCCTGAATGTTAAACAAGCAGGGGCACAGTTCCAGTATGAAAAGCTAGATGAAAACCAGCAAGTTTGAGGGTAGTGGGGTGGAACAGAATAGGTTGAAACACCTTGGTCTTCTGAGGCACTTGGCTGGGGACTACAGAGGTTCTGCCCAGTCCACTCTTGGTCTTCTACTCAGGAGGAGGCAGGGCCCACAGAATGGCATCTCTATCATTCTAATGCTGTACCTTCTGTGACAAAATGTGCCTTTAACAGGGATTTGTTCTGTCCTGATTCTCTTGAAGGTAGGTGTTGTAAACCTGGTACTGATATGTCTGCTCCATGGAAAGGACAGTAAAATGCTTTGGGTTTTTGTAAAATTAGACAAAAGAAGCCTGAGTGGGTGGAGTCAGGCTCACACAGATGCAAGATTTTACTTTTTGCTTTCAGTTGTTGAAGTTGGTATTTTTGAAGTTGAAGCAGCCAGATACAATTCTCTCTCTGCTGCTGCAAAAAGCTTGAGTTTTCTCTCTCTGCTGCTAGATTCATGCTTTTGGTTTTTGCTTTCTCCTGGACTACAGGAGATTGCAAGTGAGAGAAATCTGTTTTGCTGAATTTGCCTTTGCCAAGGGTGTGCTTATGGGATGCTGCTACATTGGAACAGTTAATGAGTAATAGTTAAATAACATATTATTTTATTAAGTCTTTCAATCGAGTTAAAGCAATGCCAATTCCCTCTTTTTTTGTTTGTATTTTAACTGTGGTATGTGTTTTCTTTAAAGCCTAGTAATTTGACCAATTGAATCATTTCTGGAACACAGCACTTTACACTTGCCTTTAAATAAGGTAAACATTAAGGTCTATCTCCTTGATATGTTTTGAGGGGGTTTGGTCCAGTCCTTAACACTTCCTATAGACTAAGAAACCTGGATCAGTCCATGTCAATGTTAATTGTATATCTTTTGTGTTTAATTACAGCCTAGCAGAGGGTGAGGGTCTTGTGGTGTAGTGGTTCTCAGCCAGAATTCAAGACCCACTCTGCTCTGGAGGTGTCATATTATGTCACAAGTTAAGTGACACTTTCCCCAGAAAGAGGGCAATAATTGGAGTTTCACTTGAGAGGATTCTCAGTGAAATTGGGATTGGAGTTGAATTCTGTTTGTATTGCTTCACTTTGTGAATAAATTTCAGACTGAGTAAAGATTAGCTCCAGTACTATTCTTGCTTTCTGGAATCAACAGTCAAATAGAGTAAGTGGTGTTTTCAAGATCTGAGTCTTGGCCTGGCAGTCAGCTACATAGGTCCTCTGCCCCCAACATGAGCTGTTGATATCACCTGAACTGTGAAAGGGATGAGGTTCCAAAGAAAGAGGAATATATCAACAACCTTGATACATGTAAGGCAAATAATGAAAATAGCCATTGCTTGTTTAGATAGCAGTAAGCTCTCTTCTGAAAGATGTGTAAGAAGTCTTTGTGTCCTTGTCTATTCTGGCCTGTATGTAACTTTGATCCTCTGGCAATGTGGTTACCTCTTTAATTTCCCAACTAAAGTGGTGAACCAAGCCACTTAACTGTACCAGGACAACTAGAGATAAACATCAGCTGTGCCAGTAATGCCCACATGCTGAGAATGAACTCAGAAATGTGCACACAATAAATAATGCTAGAAATTCTAAGCCGGGCTCCTGAATTATGAGCCCAATTACCTGGAATCGGAATGTGCCTGAATCTTCTGAACATTGATGTCTGTATCGAGCACCCCAAGCAGCACAGCCAGCTGTCGCACCAGAGTGTCCTTCTGTTGCTCAGTCAGACTGCTCACTCCAACCTGCAGCACCAGCTCCACCAAGTCATTCTTCCTACGATCTGTCAGCCACATGCACACAAGCATTAAGTTAGACATTGGAGAACAGGGAATAATACGATTTACGGTATAAATGGATATCTGTTAGGGGAAATAAACATTCTACATCGTGATTTGGTTCTGCACCTTCTGTGCCCCTCAGCTTTCTCTCAGATATTAGTGCAATTTCAGTGCTACCCAAGGTCTTTCAATGCTATGAAAGGGACACTAACATTTTAACTTCATTAGCTCTATCAGGGAGAGGCGGTAGCAAAGTGGTATTGTCACTGGACTAGCAATCCACAGATCCAGCTAACGTTGTGTGGTCCTGGGTCCAAAATAATCTGCAGCTTCATCTCCTGGCACAAGCCCCACTCTACCATTGCTGTCAAGTGCAGGGGACTGACCCTAGTTCAGGGAAAGATGCAGGAGGACATGCCAAGGGCAGCACCAGGCCAAAAAATGAGGGGTCAACCTGGTAAAGCTACGAAAACAAAGAACCTTTTTACTGAACAGCATAAGCAGCAGGTGATTGATCTTAGCGATTCCATAACCAACGGATCAGATTAAGCTCTGCAGTCCTGCCACATCCAGTCGTGAATGGTGATGGACAACTAAATAACTCACTAGAGGACGAAGCTCAACAAATATCCCCTTTCTCAATGATGGGGGAGCTCAACACATCAGTACAAAAGATAAGCCTGAAACATTCACAACAATCTTCAAACAGAAATGCCAAGTGCATTATCTACCTTATCTCCTCCAGAGGTCCCCAGCATTATAGATACCAGTCTTCAGCCAACTTGATTCACTCCATGTAATGTAAAAAAGCAATTGGAGGCAGTGAATACTACAAAGGCTATGAACCTTGACAACATTCCAGCAATATACAAAAGATTATGCTCCAGAACATGCGAAGTTGTTCCAGTACAGCTACAACACTAGCATCTACCCAACAATGTGGAAATTTGCCCAGGTAAGTCCCGTACTCAAAAAAGCAGGACAAATCCATCCTGGCCAATTATCTCTCCAGCAGTCTACTCTTAATCATCAGTAAAATGATGGAAGTTGTCATCAACAGTACTATCAAACAATAACTTGCTCTCTTATTCCCAGTTTGAGTTCCACCAGGATCACTCAGTTCCTGACCTCATTACAGCTTTAGCTCAACTATGGAAGGTGAGCTGAGAGTGATTGCCCTTGACGTTAAGGCCACATTTGAGTAAGTATGATATCAAGAAGCTCTGGCAAAACTGAAGTCAATAGAACAGGGGGGAATGTTCTCCACTAGTTGGAGTCATACTTAACACAAAGGAAGATGGTTGTGGTTTTTAGAGTTCAGTCATCTCAGCTCCAGGACATCTCTACAGGAGTTCCTCAGGGTAGCGTCCTAGGCCCAAACATCTTCAGCTGCTTCATCAATGACCTGCCCTCCACCATGAGGTCAGAAGTGGGGATTCACTATTAATTGCATAATGTGTGTTTCAATCCATATACAATGCAACAAGACCGGGACAATATCCAAGATTGGGTTGAAAGTGGCAAGTAACGTTCACGCAACACAAATGCCAGGCAATGACCATCTTCAATAAGAGACAATCTAACTGCCACCCCTTGACATTCAATGGTGTAATCACTACTGAATCTCTCAATATCAACATCCTGAGAATTACCATTCACCAGAAACTGAACTGGACTGGCTATATCAATACAGTGATTACAAGAACAGGTCAGAAGTTAGGAATCCTGTAGCAAATAAATTCTGTAGCCCCAAATCCTGTTCGCAAGGCATAAGTCAGGAGTGTAATGGAATACTCCCTACTTGCTTGGATGAGTGTAGCTCCAACAACACTTAAGAAACTTGACACCATCCAGGGCAAAGTAGCCCACTTGATTGGCATCACTTACACAAACAGTTGCTCCATCCACTAAAGATCAGTGGTAGCAGTCTGTACCAAGCATAAGATGCATTGCAGAAATTCACTAAGGCTCCTTGGACTCACCTTCCAAACCCATGACCACTTCCAGCTTGAAGGACAAGGGTAACAAATATATTGGAACACCACCACCTGCAAGTACCCCTCCAAGCCACACGATGTCCTGACTTGAAAATATACCACCATTCCTTCATTGTTGCTAAAACTATATTAGGCACTAGTCGGACCACTCCTGGAATACTGTGAACAGTTTTGGACCCTTTATCTAAGGAAAGATATACTGGCATTGGAGGCCACCCAGAGAAGGTGATCCCAGGCATGGAGGAGCTTTCTTACTACGGGGTGAGTAGGTTGGGGCCTGTACTCATTGGAGTTTAGAAGAATGAGAGGCAACATTATTAAAATATATAATATTCTTAAGGGGGCAGGCATGATGGATGCAGAAAAGCTGCTCTCCCTTGTGGAACAGCCTAGGACTACAGGGCATAATGTCAGAATAAGGGTCGCCCAGTTAGGATAAAGATGAGCAGAAACGTCTTTCTCAGAGAATAGTGCATCTGCGAAATTCTTTAGTACAGGTGGCTATTGAGGCTGGATCATTAAGTATATTCCAGGCTACAACTGATAGATTTTTAGCAATAAGAGACTCAAGGGTTATGTGAAAAAACAGGAAAGTGGAATTGGGGATTCTCTTATCAGCCATGATCTCATTGGACAGCGGAGCAGACTTGCTGGGCCAAACTGCTCATTTTTGCTCCTACGTCTACACTCTTGTTTGTAAGACTAGACGTTGAGATACTTTGGCTAGAATTCTTTCCTGCCCCTTACCCAAAGTCTATGTACAGTTTCAGCAGTTGTAATTGGATTACAATAAGGAGTGAAGACTCTGGTTAATTTTGTCTGGAACAGGGGTTTTAAGACTACATATGGCTGGTGCACAGGGCTGAGATTTGAATGGAATTCAAGGAAGAGCCCACATTTAACATTGCTGGTCCACAAACACTCTATCATCTTACCTGGTCGTACTTCAATAGTGGTGCTGTCTGTGTCTGACTCCCCATTCGCATCAGTGACTTTCAAGTGAAAAATATACTTCCCTTCCACAAGGTTAGTTACTTGCAGTCTTGCTTCATGGTCTGAATAATGCATTACCTCCTGTGTTAGTTAGAGAGATAAAGAGAGTTCATCATCATTACTCGCTTTACACTTACTAAAAAAGCAAACATAAAAAGCCTGGACTAAAGAGATTTCGATCAGATTAAAAGCTGTTAAAGGCATAACATGTGTTTAGTCCAATTTGCCTGACAGTAGAACCTCTTTGCTTTAACTCTAAGCTGCCTTACTGCAGTTTATCTTCTATTTGCTAAAAAAAATTCCAAACAAAACCCCAGGGAGAAACAAAATGACACATGGCATGTAACCTAGAGGAGGTATGAGATTATTTACTTTGATGATAAAGACAGTAAAGCAAACAATATTTTTAAAAAGCCACTAAATTTCACAATGTTTAAGTTCAATGAGATTTGGACTTCTCATACATGGAACACATTAAAACAGTGCCTTTGTATAGCAAGCAATTAGGAAAGCAGATGGTAGATTTAATTTTATTGTAAGGAGAATGGAGTATAAGATTTTGTGGAATCAAACAATCCCGACAGTGTGGAAGCAGGCCATTTGGCCCATCGAGCCCTCACCAACCGTCCAAAGAGCATTTCACCCAGACCCACCCATCCCCTGTAACCCCTTATTTCCCATGGCTAATCCACCTAGCCTGCACATCCCTGAACACTACGGGCAATTTGGCACGGCCAATCCACATAACCTGCACATCTTTGGACTGCGGGAGGAAACCAGATCACCCGGAGGAAACCGATGCAGGCACAGGGAGAATGTGAAAACTCCACACAGGCAGACAGTCACCCAGGACTGCAATCGAACCCAGGTCCCTGGTGCTGTGAGGCAGCAGTGCTAACCACTGAGGCACCTTGCTACAATTGAATAGAGATTTGGTGAAACCACACCTGGAACACTTTTGGTCTTCATTTCTAAGCAGAGAGATTCATGCAAAATGAAGGTTTATCAATATGACTTAGGTGACTTAGAGAACCCAAAGTCCTTGAGTATATTTAAGGCTGAGATAGATAGATTACAATCAAGCGTTATGGGGAAAGGGCAGGAAAATGGACAGGAGGAATGTCAAATCTGCCATGATTGTATTAAATGGCAAATAGGCAGACTGGTCTACTCACATTCCTATTTCTGGTGGTCTTCTTTTGTTTCTGGGGTGAAAAGGTCATGCTATGACAAGAGGCTGAGAAAATTGTGTTTGGAAAACTTAAGTGAAGCGCAAAATTCTTAAAGGGTTTGACAGAGTAGACACAAAGCTTTTTCCTCTTGGCTGTGGAATTGAGAACACAGAGCCACAGTCTTGGGATTAGGGAACTTTGAGGAGGAGAAATTTTTTTCCCTCAGAGGGTTGTGAATCCTTGGAAGTGTTTTGCCCCAGGGATTGGTGAATGTTTCATCATGAGTATACCCCAATGGATTCTCCATCATTGAGCTCACCCTCCCACCCAGCATTGTGACATCCTTGTTTATGTGTTTAAGTAGTTGTATTCGATCTTGAAAATTGATCAAATGCCATGAAATGGTTGTATTGTCAAGCTGACCTCGAATTTTCACCAAGTATTCTTGTTTTGGGGCTTACTCAATTGCATTGAATATCCACATTAATGAGGAAATACAGACATTACAAATATCAAATGAAAACACTAAAAATCCCAGGATTACATGGTTTCAGGCAGCATTTTGAAAGGCAAGTTTTCAGTTCAGGTGAGTTTTTTTTTTAATTTGATAAAGGATCACAGGCATTGTCAAGTTTTCTTTGTTTTTTTTTAAAGCAGGCTGATGTGCTCTGCATATCCAGTTAAAGTTTAGAAGCATGCTGTTAGTTGGTAAAGCTCAGTGGTGCTCACAGCAGAGTGATCTGTGTGAAACCTTGGGCCCAAACTCCTAAATCAGTCTAAAAGTTGCCTAATTTAGGTGGATGAGTCAGATGTTAGATTATGCCAAACCTCTGTGCTCTTCAACTACCTGTAAAAAATTCAACAGAACTGTGAGGCAATTACAAATGGCACGGGAAACAGATGAGGCAATTATGCTGTGAGATAAGAGAAGAGAAATTGAATGCTGTATGGATACTGGACTATAGTTTGAAGAGGCTATAAATATTATATTGCATATCTAGTGTTGCTAACTTCTATTTAAACTGACCTTATTATCGTTCTCGTTCCCTATATTAGGGCACCAGGAACTGAAAGATTTAGGAAACTGTAGCTGATCTTGAAAGGCTGCAAGGGCACAAGCCTGGCAGTTACACCAGGATCACACTTGCTAGTGCCTTCCAATGCTAATGCTGCCAGGATTTGTGGGGGTCAGTAAGAGGGGAGGGTTGACTTCGCCCTCAATGGGGCCTGAGAATTTCTATTGTAGCTTGGAAATCTCCCTGCCCCACATGCCACAAGCTCTAAAACCTGCCACTTGCCAGGGGCAATCTGTGCTTCTTTCTCTGGATATAGGAATCGCTATTAAAAGTATTTGTAGTTCAAAAAAAACATAATCTTTAGAAACGCAGATCAAATGATAGTGAAGACTGAATTATGTGGAGAGGTTTCCAACGAATCAACACAAGTTTTGCAATGGAAGCACAGTATGTTTTTATCTGTGGGTTCATGATATACCAATGTTAAGTTGCTGACAACAAAATATATGCATCTCCATAGGCATGTAAATTAAGTTGATTTATCAAATTATTAGAAAAGGTTTAGAATATAAAGGAAGCTTCTTTAACATGACCGTAGATTTCATGATTGAGGAGAGATACGTTGTCAATGAAGACTTAATTGGATAGGTAAATGAAGGAAAATGAGAGAAAGATATGGAAATGCGACAAGTAAATGATTAGAATATGGAAGGTAAATGTTGACACAGAAAGTGGAGTCAAACAGCCCAAATTCGTGGTTTAATTTCTATACATCTTTTTGATGTTAAAATATGAAATAAGAATAATTCAACCAAACATTTTAATTAAAAGCAGAAAATACAGGGCATGCTTAATCTTTGTAAACCAGGCCATTTTTTAAGTATCTGTTTGATCATCATGTGGTTAGGGCTCATATCTTATTTGATAATGCTCCTTGATTGGTGATTTTGTTGTGTGCATCTGTTGATTGCTCTCTGTGCTGTCTGCTGTTAGTCAAGCCAAGGATGTAGTGACAAAGAAAGAGAACCTGAAAGTAAACTGGCAGCTGCCGACTTTTTTGCATTTCAAAGCATTGAATAAAACTCTTGTTCACACTTAGAGCCTTGGTGTATGTCATCTCTGCACATCTCCAAGGCACAACACAATATCAAGGAAAAATGATTCTCCATTTTCTAAATTTACCAATTCCAGTTCCTTTCCTTTCTTCATCAGGAGATACACCCATGCCATGGGATTGGGTGGATTTCTGGTTTCAACATCTACTTGGTCACAATGGGTATGGGCCTTGGTCACAATGGGTATGGGCCTTTTACAGGTAGCCATGACCAGTAATTGACGTCCATTGTCTCAGGACAGAGAGAATTTAAGCAGCTCCCAGAAAGATATCTATGTTCGATAAGGCAGAAAGTCCCCTTGAAAAATACTTTGGGCCAAAGAAAAGTGTGATATCTGAATGATACCCATTGCACCCTAGATGCCAGGGAACTAGTGAACTAATAAAACATGACACGGTAGTGTTGTGGCAATTGGCTTCTACATGTAAATTTGGTACAATACCCAATGAATTAATTTGTGACCAACACACTGAAAAATATTTAATTCCATCAATTAGGGGATGCCTAGTGGTTTTGTGGCTTAGTGGGTGCCATCACTGCCTCGGGATCAAAAACTCCAGGTTCAAGTCTCACCCCAGGACTCAATGGCCAAGGAGGAAGTGTTCAAAGCACAGACAAACAGGTCGAATGTCAACCTGCAAACCCTTCAACACACGCCAATGGTGGCCAGTAAAAGCAGGAGAGATTCCTCATCAGCCATGTGGTGGAAACAACTTTAAGCCACTATCATCACTAAGTACAACTCCAGGCTATGGCATGCACGTAATGTGCATTTCCACATTAACTTGACACCAATAAATTGTAGCGTATCACCACCAATCACAGAGAATGATGATTTCACTTTGAAAAATGCCACAACTTTAGCAGTCCAAATCAAATCTGCCCTGTTTGATTCAAAGAGTTTAACACAGAAATGCACCCTTGCCTTTTAATACAGAGAACTGTCCAAAGGTAAAAAACTAAAGAATAGGTGAAGTTATGCAACTGTTCACAATGATTAAAGTAGTACAAATTAGATACTCACACCTGCAGCAGGACTTTGCCCATCCCGTGTCCAAAGGTAAGATACGATGCTTTGGTCATCAGTGGAGTTGGAACCATCAAGGGTGATAGAGTTATTGGGCAAGGTCAGAAAATGGTTACCTCCAGCACAGGCTATAGGACGATTATTTGTTTCTTAAAAACATATACAAAAATCAATCAATCAGTCTTCACATGTCATTGATAGATCATTTGAGCAAACAGTCAGTTATAAATTTCTCTGTTTATAAATTAAGTTTTCGAGAATGAAATTGGTAGTGTACAAAAGGTTTCTAGGCACTTTTGTTGAACTTTCCTTATTCAAGTAGACTGAAAGTCCAATACAACGTGCATCTGAAATTAATTTTCTGCCAATACCACACAAATCATTTTCACCCTGCAACACGGAAAATGGAACAACAGGTGAGTTCACCACTAAAATAGACTTGAGTCTTCTGTTGAGCACAGAATATCAATTATGTTGGACATGGTACTTGACAGCAGAGGTACAGGGTGAGAATTACAACCAGACAGTAACAGTAGCACAAGTGAAAATCTCATTTAGAAGCACAGCTTCAAAAATGTATCCTTGGGTAATAGTTACAATAAAGAGAATAAGGAACAGTTGAAGGGGTCTTTACTCATGCATACTGTGCATAGTGTGAGGAATGTGGTTGTGTATGATTTTGTTTACTCATATACAGTATATACTATAAAATATGCAACATATGGAAGTTCTTCTAACCTTATCAAACAAAATATGGAAAAGCTTGGAGCTGATCAGAGAATGAAGCTTGTGCAGTTTTTAACAATAACTTGAAGGCACTATTTAAAATATTTGTTATTTTCATTTAACATGACTCATTTAGGTGAGACGAGTGGTATTATCTCTGGACTGTTAACCCAGATAACGTTTTGGGGACTTGGGTTTGAATCCTGCCATGCACATGGTGGAATCTGAACTCAAAAAAGAAATCTGGAATTAAGAGTCTAATGATGACCATGAATCCATTGTCGATTGTTGGAAAAACCCATCTGGTTCACTAATGTCCTTTAGGGAAGGAATGACTGACCAGGAATCACTCCTGGTCTTAACTGGTTGCCATCCTTTCCTGGTCTTCCCTACGTGTGACTCCAGATCCACACCGATGTGGCTGACCCTTAACTGCCCTCTGGGCAATTAGTGATGGGCAGTAAATGCTGGCCTGGCCAGCGAGGCCCTCATCCCATGGACGAATAAAGATAAATAATTCCCACCTGACCTTTCTTTGGGTTTAAGTTTTCTCTCATTGTGCTTAACAGTGTGTGAAGAGACTGACTTTGTACCCTTGCTATAAATGTACACAGAGTTGGTGAGACCACAGAGTACTGAACTCAATGTCCTCCCTCTTATTTAAGGAGGGATATATTTGGATTTGAGGCAGATCTGAGAGGCTTCATTAGGTTTATTCCTAGGGTTGTCATCTGAGGACTGATTGAGCAGGTTCTTCTATTCTTTCACGGAATGCACATGTCACTCGCAAGCCCAGCATTTGATGCCCATCCCTACATGCCCTTGAACTGAACATTCCAGAGGGAGTTAAGATTTGCTGTGGGTCTGGAATCACATGTAGGCCAGAGCAAGTAAAGGTGGCATGATTTCCCTCCCTAAAGGGCATTAGTGAACAGATGAGTTTCTATAACAATTGAGAATATTTTTTACAGTAATCTTGAACAAGACTAACTTTCAATAACAGTTTTAAGAAATTAAATTAAAAATTCTACCAGCAGCAGTATGCAATTTGAATGAATGACATCAGAGAATTAGTACACCTACATCAGTGTCACCCCTACTGTGGCGTAAATTCATTGGAGTTTAGAAAAATGACAGCCATTGTTAATGAAAGATAAGATTATGAGGAGGCTTAAAAAGGCAGATCCTAACAGGATGTTACTCTGTCATGAGGAAATGTAGAACCAGGAGGCATTGTTTCAGAGTATAGGTGAAGGCATTTAAGATGGAGATGAGGATAAATTTCTTCTTTCAGAGGGTCATAAATCTTTGAAATCTTCCACCCTAGAGAGAGGTGGAGAATGCCTCATTGAAAATATTCAATACGGAAGCAAATAAATTCTTGAAAAATAATAAAGTAAGCATTATGGGGAACAGTAGAAAAGTAGAGTTGCGGCTTAGATCAGACCAGCCAGGTGGTGCAGTAGAGTCAGAGGGTTGAATGATCTTCTACTGCTACTATTACTTACACCACAGCAGCAAACTGAAGGATTAACATCAGGATGTCATAAAAACAAAAAATCTCTGCCTGGCCATCTCAGCTAGTGGTATAATGACTTTTCTTTACCACAGTAAGCTGACAGGTACTGTAAAAACACCCACGGTATCACGAGATGAAGAATTAAACAAAAATTCAATACTCAATTCAAACACTGGAAACTTGCAATGCATGGACAGTCAATTATAGCTGAAATGTGATTACACTTGACTGACCTTCTTTGATGGTGACTGCCACTGTATTTGAGCTGCTTAGACCTTGCTGGTCAGTGACAGTCAACCTGAATTGGTACGTCCCAACATGAAGCCCTATCACTGAGGCCACAGCCTTATCACTGTCCTCAATTTTCACATCAGGGCCACTGAAATAAAGAATTTGCATTTACATCGTGCATTTCACAGCCACAAGCAATCCCAAAGCATATTACAGCCAATGGTGTACCTTGAGCTACAACAGTAATGATGGAAATACAGCAGCAAATTTGTCCATAGCAAGCACAAACAAACAGTAATATAATAGTGATAATGACAATTTGTTTTTCACTGACAGAAAGGATAAATATTGGTCAGGAAACTGCCCAGCTTCTCTGAAAAACAGTGGCATAGAAGTGTTTACCTCCACCCTATAGTGTTGGCAGAGTTGGTTTAACATTACATCCAAAAGATGGCACTGCCAACAGTACAGTAGTATGCACTCATTACAGCACTGGGGTTGCCAGCTTAGATGATGTGCTCAAAACTTCAAAGTGGTGCTATCAGACCAGTGTCCTACCATTCAGTAATAGCTGAGACTGCTGGATACCAAATAGGCAGGTTCCAAAGAACTTGCCAACTCCACACTGGTTAATTGCTGATTACTGGAAAGGCCATGAATATATGCCATATTTAGAATTTTAATATACAATAGTTTTATGATATACTTGTATAATGTATGATCATTATTTGGGAATTTGGATGTTTAACATAGAAGCAGCAACATGAGATGGGTTTTAGTTCTGTAATATATTTTTAAAAGAGGTCAGAAAGTCATTGGGAAAAAGGGACCCAAAATACATCTATTCCGAGGAAAGATATGACTTGGTATGTACATAGCTAGATACCTGTGTGTCAACTGATGAAATATTTACATTGCTGTGTTTATGGCATACAAAAAAACCATCCCAGCGAGAAGATTTGATTTTCGGTGCGGTTTCAACCTAGCAGAATGGTAGATTAGTTTGTAAAATCTTTAAGCTGTAGAAGTTTATGTTGAAATTGTCAAGCTGTCAGAACTGAAAAGTGATTTAGGCCATCTGAACTAGAAAGAAATCTTGAAATTGTTTCAACAATCCAAGGAAGAAATCTGGAAAGAGTCAGTTAATTTAGAAATTAAGGTGTTAAAATAGGAGTGATATTTCTCTAGGATTCAGCAGCTAAAAAGGATATTGCAATGAAAAAGGCTGAATTTATTTTTGTTGTCGATGTTAAGACTTTTTCAAATTGACTTAAATACATCTGAAAAGCTTTCTTTTCCCATTTGCAGAATAAATTTGTACTCTTGTGTTAAAGAACATCTACAGCCTTATGCACGTGTTCAAATAACAAATCACCATGGTAACCAACTTCAAAAATTAAACTTACATTCTATCAAGCCAAATTTCATTCAAGGATCTGACTTATCAAGTATTACCATCAACTCTCATTTTTTTTTAAAAAAGTAATCTGGAGCCTTGTAGTTTTAATGCAGAGGAGACAGACCAGAATTGTAACATGAGTGAGGAACTTCACTTTGTGTACAGTCTAAAGAATCCGCAATTGCTCTCCTTATAGTAGCAAAAGGGTTAGGGCAGACTTAATATGTTCAAGATTATGAAGAATTTTGGTGAAATGAATACGCCGAAGCACTTTCTCCTGCCAGAAATGTCGGTAACCAGAAACCAAAGCTTTAAGATAATTAGCAAGTAATAAGGGGAAGATGTTTTTTTTCCCATCAATGCAGCCAGTTATGACAATCTGGAATTCATCGCCTGAAAGGCTGATGGTTATAGATTCAACAGAAACTGACAAAATTAAATTGGGTACATAACTGAAAAGGACAATTTTGTGGCACTACGGTGAAAGAGCAGGGACTAATTGGAGAGTTCTTTCAAAGAACCAGCACAGGTCCAATAGGCAGACTGGCTTCCTTTGGTGCTGTCTGACATTATAATTCAACTTAAGAGCATTTTACGTTTGTCTGAATTTTCAGCTGACAGTTATTTCAATTGACAGACCACACTTGATTGGAACTCAACTGTAACAGAACAAGAAAAACCTGCAAACGAAGAGAGTGATGGAAACAAAGAAGATTAAATGATTTCTGAAGCAGATAAGGTCAGCATGTGGAGGAAATAAACTCGAAAGGCTACAGAGATAGAACAGGGAAATGGGGATTGACTGAACTGCACAACAGAAGTCAGCTTGACTTCAGTATTCTGTAGTTGTTTTATTAGGCTCTGTATTAGTTTTCAGGTGCGCTTAATATCTCCTTCTATGCCATAATGAATTTAAAAACCTTGGTTAAATATTTTTTTAAAAGATGAATGACTGTAGCAGTATTTGTGTTTTCAGAGCTCTACAGTAATAATCCACGAATAATAAAGAATTTGGTGATTTCCAAATCCATGTGTGTCAAGCTGCCCAATGGCCTACATGACGGTATTTACACCGATGTAGTTTGTAAAAATAAAAATTACCACCAAGCTGAAAGCTGGATAAAAAGCACCAAAAGACAAAATGTTTGTTCCTGTCGTTAATTACCTGATCTTCTCCCAATGATACGAGATAATACCCTGATCATCACTACTCCCTTGTCCATCCAAAGTAGTACTTTCCACCGGGCTTATTAATTCTTTGTCAGGGCCCACAATTGCTATCGGAGGGTTGTTTTTCTCTACACCAAAGGAAAATAACGCAATAAATATCAAAGGACCAATTACAGACACACTGCACAAATTACAGCAACTGTCTTAAAGCAAGACTTATCCGGAGTACAATTCATGACATTTCACATGAAGTGTAGGTACAATTTATTTAATCAATTTTAACAATACAGTGTGAATTATTGCAGTGGATTGTAGTTTGACATTTTCAGTCTTTCTTGGCAGCTCTGTATTAGTTTTCAGAGAACTTTGGGAAGGCTGGTTCAAAAACAAAAAACAGTAGGTATATTATTTGCCAAGGGCGAAACAAGAAATGCAGAATCATTTTTTAAAGAAGTCTTTCCGTGTCCATGGAAAGCCAGTAATAATTCTCTTCAACATCTAAATAAGCAGCTGCAGTTGTAACCCGCAAGAACATCATGTCCTATATTTTTCACCTTCATATATTTTGTCTTTTAACTGCAACTGTTTCTGGCTGTGAAAGTCACCTGTTAAGGAAACTCGGTTGTTATTGTGGTAAGTTTGCTTCTCCTAAATCATTTGAAACTGGCCTTTAACCTTCCAATGATTTGAGGAGTTACATTGAAAATCCACTCTATATACACATAATGCACAGTGAAAAAGAGACATTGCTAAAATACTTGTCCATCCTTGATTTCTCCACAGGATATTCTTGTAGGCATATGAAAGGATGGGTGGGGCGCAAAGGTTGCATTAGATTAGGGCAGTCCACAATGCTGTATCATGCTTGCTGACCTACACCGGCTCTTGGTCCACCAATACGTTTTCACTGTATTTAAATTCTTTCACAAATTTCACCCCCTGCCACTATCTGTACAAGCTCCTCCTGTTCTACAATTCTCCAAAAACTCTGCATTTCTGCAATTCCAGAATTTTGTATATCCTTGATTTCCTTCCATTGGAGGCTTTGTCTCAACTTTTTAGGGCCCCAAGCTGTGAAATTCCCTCCTTAAACCTCTTCACTTCTCTTTGGTTAAAACGCTCCTTAAAACCTACCTTGTGGTGGTATTTCGGGTCACCTGTCCCAACATCTCTTTATAGAGCTCAATGTCAAATTTTACCAGGTAATGCTCCATGGAAATACTGTGGGAACTGTTGCTATGCTTAAGGTGCCTCACAAATACAAGTTGATTTTGTAGCTGAGCATAACCTCCAGTGTTGTAAAAGGCTGCTTAAGTGACTAAGGAGTCATCGACAAAAGAAAGGGAAACCCATTGTATGGACATGATTGTCTGAGAAAGCAGCATAGCACTCTGTTTCATGATCATAGAACCCCTAGAATGTGGAAGCTTGCCATTTGGTCCATCGAATCCACAGAACCCTTCGAAGAGCATCCCACCCAGATCCATCGCCCTAACCTATCCCTGTAACCTGCATTTCCCATGGCTAATCCACCTAGCCTGGATATCCCAGACACTAAGGGCTATATTTAACATGGCCAATCCACCTAACCTGCACATCTTTAGACAGCAGAATGAAACCAGAGCACCCAGAGGAAACCGATGCAGGCACAGGTAGAACGTGCAAACTCCACGCAGACAGTTGCTCGAGGCTGGAATTGTACCTGGGTCCCTGGTGCTGTGAGGCAGCAGTGCTAACTACTAAGCCACTGTGCTGATTCCTGTGGAACAGAGTTGGATATGAAGGTACTAGTTGTCCATGTTACTCCATATGCCATCCCAGAAGTGTGCATTGCAGCAAGCCTGAAAGGCAGGTTTCAGGTTAACTAGACAGGCATTAGCTGTACTAGCTCTAAAGAAACATAGGAACAGGAATAGGCCACTTAGCCCCCGATGCCTGCTCGACCATTCAATGAGAGTATGGCTGATCTGTGCCCTAATCCCATAGACCTGCCTTTTTCCCCATCCCTTAATATTTCTGGGTAATGAAAATACATCAATGTCCAATTTTAAATCGTGGAGAAATAAACAGAGTTAATGTTTTGGAAGTTCTGAAGAAGGGTCTCTGTTTCTCTCTCCACTGATGCTGCCAGACCTGCTGAGTTTTTCTAGCAACTTCTGTTTTTGTTCCGATTTAAAATTGACAATCGATCTATCATTCATTGTCATTGTGGAAAACAGTTCCAAATGTCTCCAGTCCTTTTTGGGATTTTCTTTATTTTTTCCAAGGGACGTGAACGTTGCCGACAATGTCAGAATTTGTTGCTTGTCCCTAATGTAAGTGACGGAGGACGATGTGTTGAATTCGGAGGTTGGTGGGGTGATACGTGAGGATGAGGGGAATTCTGTCTTTGTTGTTATTGTGGGGAGCGGGTGTGAGGAATGAGTTGCGGAAAACGCGAGAAATGTGGTCAAGGGCGTTTTCGACCACCGTGGAGGGGAAATTGTGCTCCTTGAAAAACGAGGACATCTGGGATGTCCGGGAGTGGAATGTTATCTCCAAGTTTGATTCTAATACTTTTTATTTTCCTTTGTTCATTCGCGGGATAAGGCATCACTGGCAAGACAGCATTTATTGCCCATCCCTAATTGCCCAGAGGGCAGTTAAGAGTCAACCACATTGCTGTGGGTCTGGAGTCACATGTAGGCCAGACCAGGTAAGGATGGCAGTTTCCTTCCCTAAAGGACACTAGTGAACTACTGTCTTATCAGAGTAGGCAGCTCCTGGGAAAGCCATGGACGTTCAACAAGATCTACAGCAGCCTTGCACAACTAGGTAGGGACCAGTGCTTGGGCCAGCAAAGGTTGTCCCCACAGATTTCAAAGACACTGCACTGAAATTTACTTTCACCGTAACGTGAACTTGACAATGGTGCATGGATTTGCAGAGACTGTTCAAGCCCATTGCAAAAACAGACTTTAATTTCTACTAATTTCCATTAATTTTCAGCAAGTGCACTCCATACTCCATTCCCACACTAACACTTCCAAAATCAGAACATGGCCTGGAAGCAACCTCCACAATCATGCCTTTAACCCTTTGAAAATCTTAGCCTAGGTACCATCCAGATAAACTATGCTGCACTTCCTCCAAGGCACATACATCCTTACTCAGGTATGGTAACCAAAACTGCTCATTCTTCTCCTCGCATGGTTTGACTAAAGTTTTCTATAGCTGAAGGATGACTTCTACCTCCTCTAACCCTCTTCATATAAAAGATTTTATTCATCTTTTAGTTATTTTATGCCCCTGTTCATAATATTTTAACTTCATGGCATTACAGGTGCTCCTGGAGCAAATGGCACCCCATTGGATCTCAGCTTTATCTTGCCTTTGCCTGGTAGCTATGATTTTGGAACAGAAATTGAGCATTTGGCAGCTCAAGTCAGCTTCACCATTCAATTAGATCATGGGTGATCTGTAACTCCACTTAACCACCTTAGCTCCATTCCCTAATCTCATCTAACAAAAGTAACTTGCATTAATGACTCATGATTATGTTGCTTGTATCCTGATTGAGTGACCAACGAAGGCTATGCTGGCTAATTGTCACCCATGCAATGACTTATACCTCACGCAGTACTGCACGAAATTGGAACTGGTATGATTGAGCTGCTTCTGAAGGTGAATCCAATATATGACATGTGAGATGTTTACTTTGCTGTCAAGCATGTGGTCATATCCTGTCTTCAAACTAGGAACCATGATGTGCACTGAATGCAAATATGCACAATTGGACTAAAAATTATTGCATGTATCTTCTTAACATCCTTTTAAATTCAGATATATAAATTCTGCTGGAAATTACTGGGATATTTTTAAAAAGTGGTGGATGTCAAGATCAGCTACAGTTTCACTGAATGGCGTGACAAGGTTAATGGGGGAAAATAGCCTACCCCTGATCTTGTCTCATACCTACATGCCAAGAACTGGGAAATGACATAGAAGACAACAGTGTGTCAAGTCAATGTCATTATCTTACAACTTACAAGCTACTACCTGTTGCAGGCTGAAGGTTTGCCAGTCTGTCGGTAGCCTGTATGCACAGAGATCCAGTCGGTTTCGATGCCTTACGCACATGTGGGGTGCGAACACACAACGTTTAGCCTAATTAACTTTTTGCTTGTTTCAATGACATTTACAAACTGTGATAGCAATGCAACAAAAGAAGACTTCCTCACCAGTTCATATCTTGATGCTTTTTCCTAATTGGAAAAACAAAGGTCACTGGTAGAGATCCTTGAAAACCATATGTCAGCTGGAATAATTGAAACGTGTTTCTTGTGACAGTTCAGTCAAGATCTAAGTCAAGATGCCTCATCATTTTGGAAATATTTGTCATTAAGAAATCTACTGGCTCAACTTCTAAAAATTTAAGTAATTGCTGTTGCAGAAGATTTATGAAAGTAGAGAGCTTGGAATTTTGTAAGCTGAAAACAGTTACTGTTTTTCTCACCAACATCTTATTCCAATCAATCCTGCTCAGTTCTGTTCTTGCCCCATTTTAGACTGCTCTCCACCAACTGATTTTTCTTACTCTGGATTATTGCATGTCATTCTTCAACTTCATCCTGAACCTTATGATGCAAAGATGACACTCATAAATGTTCATCCACTGACATTTGATCCACTTGGCCCGACTCATTTCCAAGAACCAGGTCCAACAATGCAACAGTGCCCCCTACACAACCAATATCCTAATGTTGGCACTCTATTGTAATTTCCTTGCAGATTTGTTCCTCTGCATCCATTCTCTAGCCTGTGGTCTATAGACTCACCAGGTAATATAACTGTTTCAGAGATATTAGGAACTGCAGATGCTGGAGAATCTGAGATAACAAGGTGTACAGCTGGATGAACACAGCAGGCCAAGCAGCATCAGAGGAGCAGGAAAGCTGACGTTTCGGGCCTAGACGCTTCTTCAGAAATTTTCAGCTCTGCATCCAGCTCTGCACCTTGTTATCTCAGGTAATATAACTGTACCTTTTTTATTCCATAGCTCTAGCCAAATTGACTCTGTCCTTGAACACACCGAGACGTCTTCCTTCTCAAGCACTGCAAGCCAACCTTAACCGATACTACTACTCCTCCTCCTTTATTTCCTTAATGATTTATATCTATGAATATTTAACACCCAGTCTTACCCTTCCTTGAGCCAGGTCTCTGTCACTGTTACAATATCATTCCACACGACAATCTGTATCTGTAACTTCTCAACCTCATTTACTATACTCTATGGATTTAGATACGTGATCGGTAACTTTGTTTTTGACTTCCTTCCTTCCTTCCCCTATTTTGACTTCACCTATTAACTGACTATTGTCAATTTTAGTGTCAGCTGCATCCCTAAGTATTTTGCAACCCTTAGTATCCTCCTCTGTTATTCTTCCTTGGCCAACACATTGCTGCCAAGTTAGTTTAAAGCACTTTTATCTATTTCTCACCAGGACAACACTTCAGGATGTTAACTAGCAAAATTCTTCAAAGGTCCAAGAATGCAACATGAGAACAACATTTCTGAAAAAATTTGGTTTCAGATTTTTGGGGTTAAGCTGCCTTTCAATGGGTTTCAATGGGCTTTCAATGTGAGCCATTTGTTTTCTATTGGATACTCACCAGGCTGGACAATGACTGTCACCTCAGTTGAGGACTGCTGCCCAGCAGAGTCTGTAACGGTCAGCTGGAATGTATAATCCCCTTCCTGCATTGCAGACAACTGGAGGTGAGGTGTCCGCACACCCTGCACAAAAAAATTGCAATTTACAAGTCTAGGTTTTGACGTACAACAGTAAAGCTGTCCTGAGCTTCGCTAAACAAATGCTGAAATGAAGGCACGAGAGTAATGATAAAGCTATACACATTAGTGAGATCACAACAAAGAGTATTGTGTGCAGTTTTACCCACTTCCATGTGCTAAATATACAATGATGGGAAACTGTTTATAATAACATCAAATTTCGACAGCACAGGACCAGAACATTCATCCAAATGTATCTGTGCCAGTATTAGGCTCCACACAAGCCATCTCCTACTTTATTTCATCTCATTCCATGAAAATTGTCATCCACTATTTTCTCCCTCATGTACTTGCTTTAGTTATCTTGAATGCACATATGTTACTTGCCTCAACCACTGTGTGTTGCTGCAAATGCCCAATTCACACTATTATGAGTAAAGCTATTGCTTATTTGATTTATCAACGACCACTTTATACTTATGGCACATAGCTTTAGAATTTGCACAGGTGAAAACATCTTACCCATGCTGACCCTTTTGAATTATTTTAGAATTATAAAGATCTCTATCGGATCGCTACTCAGTCTTCATTTGATAGTGGTATCCTTCCCATTTTTGTGAATCTTTTTGCATCTTCTCTAGAGTTTCAACATCCTTTTGGTAATATGCATGCCAATATTGACAGTTACAAAGAAAGACTTGTGTTTCTGGAATCATCTCTATTGAGGCAAAGATGCCTGCATGGTGACTAACAAAGGTTTGAGAAATTATGAAAGGTTTGAACATAGTACACAATGAAAGACTACTTCCTGTTGTTGAAGAATCAGTGGCATTGAGTCCTCACTTTAAAATTATCAAGAAGAGAGGTTGGGATAAACTGGAGCACAAGATGCTTTGCTGCAGGGAGTGTCATAAGATCAGAATTAAAGAGATATTGGAGCAATTTAGAAATCTAAGCAAACAAAGGCTATTGAAAAAAGAAAGTTAAGAGATTATTGAGTCCACAGAAGAAAGTAAGAGATCAATTATTTAAATCATGGTAAAGGCAGGAAGAATTTATTCAATTATTAATTAACCCTACAGATGACAGGGGTCATCCAGGGAAAAGTGTAAGGTTGCAGTAGTGAATCATTTAGGAAAGTCTATTAAAGAAAACAGAAATTAATTTATAGAGCTATGAAGACCAGGAATAATTTGATAAAACTACGAACAGAACAAGATTTTCTTAAAAGCCACAGGCAAGGACATTTGTTTTCTTTTTAACAGCATTAATGAATAAATCATTTGATTGGCCATGAAATGATAGAATCTTCCATTTTACTTGCAGAAGGCATTAGTCTTCTATTATGGCTACATAGGCATGGGAAAACCCTCCATTACAGCCCATAGAAAGTAGCAGCACAGGTAAAATGCAGAGTTGAAATCCTTTAAAGCAAAAATAATTAAGAAACAGCAGAATTAAACTCCATCAAAATAAGGAAACAAGCAGTGATTCTCGGAAGACAAGGCAGCAGAAATAATACTGCCAAAAAAATCCAATTTCATAGGTGGGCCAAATAGACCACAATATTAAACATCTTGGAGAAAGAGTCCTTAAGGTACATAATTGCTTCCAAATTAGATGCTTAATCAGAAGCTGAACAAGTAAACACTATTTGTATTAAATATGGAGTATAGCTGATCATGTTACAGTTTGCCATGGCTTAAAGTAAGCAATATATCCTTTTGATAAAATTCTACAATCTTTTGACAATTACTTTAACCTCAGAACAAGTAAGATTCTTGGCAAAGTAGGATTTAACAGAAGAGTTCAGTATCCAGGGGAATCCATAGATAATTTCATTGTCAGAATTCATAATGGACTGAATGGCTGTTGGAATTATTGACGAGTTTTGTCAGATTAATTACAGTCCAAGGAAAATTTGACTTTGAAGACAATTATTCAGATGGTCAGTGAAGAAGTCCAGAAGCAACACAGATCAGTTCTCAGAGGTGAGGATCAATCTATTCACAGGAGATCAGCAGAATCCAATTGGTTCTTAAGGTATCAAAAGCATTGAGCACATATGAGAAGCCAGTACAGAGAGTTGGCCATACAGCAGTTACTAAAGATCAGCAATGCTTTGGAACAAGGAAACTTCACAGAAACAAACAGTGCCCAACAATTAAAATAGAATGCTGTATCTGTAAAACAATAAGTCAATTCTAGAAGACATGTAGAGGCAGGACTAATAAAGGTTTGCAGAATATCATAAAGTCAAACAGTTACTCACATGAAGAAGTTTATGAGGTAGAACAGGCTATAAAGGAAGGAAAACCAAAGGTACCTAGGGATAACAGGTGATCCAAGCCAAATGTTTTGGCAAGAAGATATTTATGTCAATGAACACCTCATTAGTTTTAACCTTGATACAGGGGCAAGTGTCCCTATATTATCAAATAATCTACTATGGCTGAAGAAGTACTATTTACAGTCTACAACAATACAATTACATGATGCATAAGGTATAGCTCTAAAGAATGAAGATGTGCTACACACAATTTTGCAACACAAGGGCAGTAGTTCAGTAAGATAAAGAACATACATCAATTTCACAAACAAGAATTATCACTCTTAAACATTAGCACTTGATTTGACCTCAATCATCTTCAAAGTATTTTAACTAGTTACAATCAAGACAAATAGCCAGGAAACAGCCAATCATGCAACAAATGTTCAAGGAACAGCCGATCATGGAACCACATGATAGTGAACATGTTAGATGTTAGATAATGCACAGCAGTCAAGAGACAACCCAGTAAAAGATTTCACAGGGCCTCCTAGACACAAGGTGGAGCTGAGAAAGAAGACAGAATCCATTGAGATTTAGCTATGCTGGCATAAGAGAATTGCTTGATATTGTTAACAGGATGAGAATCTGCAACTTTGTCGGCATAAGTGTCTTCCATTCCTATCATCACTTAAGCAAGTTCAGACAGCAGAAGCCAGCACATTTTCCAAGGAGACATAAATAATGAAAAAGCTAATGAGCAATAACACCTCACTTGAGCTCATTAATGAGCCCTTAAAATAATATATTCATATTGGGAAGCCAACCTAGGTTTGGGAATAAATTGTTATGGTAGTTTCAAATCAGAGTCAGATGATGAAACGGCACAAGCTCAAGCAGAAGATTTACTTTCTTCATCTTCCAAGAAGAATCATTAATATCAGCAACAAAAAACATGTAAAGTAAGGAACAATTCTCCTCTGGTTAGCCTGGGAAAATGAACATATTGGTTTACTAGTAAAGTAACCACAAGCGGTATATTAAAGCTTCAAAACCAATGAACACAGTGAAAAGTACAGAGTCTATGTACTTCAGTACACATTTATCATCAGTTGGGAAATAAGGATTTGCTCACACAGAATGTAGGCTGCACACAACTCCTGAGATGGGGCAAACAACATCTGCAGATTCATGGTCGAAAAAAGAAATCAACTGGCCAAGGGATCAGGATACTATCAAAAAGAGAAAGTTGCCTGGTTCAGAAATCCACGACATCGCAAAAATGAAAATGTCTACTTCAACACGGCAGCCATTCTCTGCAATAAAAGATCAAAAGTTCTCCAGCTGAAATATTAGAGCAAATGTCTATTTCAACAGGAAAGATATTTTCCACAAAGGAAGTTCAAGGGATCAAAGGTCCTTCAGGTTAAAGGGGCTTTGCAAACCTATATCTTTTCATTTTTCTGTAGTTTTGATTGTAGACCGTAATGGGAGAAGGACTGTTTAAAAACTAAGGATTTTGGAAGAGATTGCTGAATTTTAAAAAATAAGTTATCGAAACGCATTGCAAGTGTTGTTTACATTGTTGCTTTGGTCAATTTGTGGAGGGAGGGGAAGTGAAGCTTTGTTAAGTACAGAAAACTGGTCCATGCTTCCTGTCAACCTTGTCTAAATGGACAGGTAAATTGGGGACTTTTGTGTACTTTGAAAATAATCTTGAACTTTTGTGACAAAGCTGCAAACAGCAGTTCTTGATTTCCAGTGTGCTACCTCAGTGAGGCCTGACAGACTTCACACTGAACAGAATTAAAGTCAACAGACTTCAAGCAAAGACCTACCAATTTTCCAAATCCAAAGAATGCATTCTGAAAGAAACTACCAGACCACCTAAATTTGTGAAAGTCAGCGACTTAGGGGGATATGAGATAGTGATAAATGTAATTACATACATGAATGTATAAACATTAATAATGGAAAAAAGCTGGGGGCCAGGTCTTGTATAAAGTGTTAGGCTCTGAAAAGGTTAATGCATTAACACTGCTCAATATGATGACAACACTACAGACTTGGGTGAGAAAATAGCTCTCAATTTCACAGGAGATAGACCTACTATCTAAGTGTCCCCCACAGTCCTAGTAGCTGTCTATCATACTGAATGGGTTAAACATTTTAACTTAGCAGTGTCTTTTAGTAAAATAAGATAGAAGCAGAAAAGAGCAGAACAGAAGATTAGCAGATGTACTCTAGACAGGCAAAGGACAAGGCCAGGGAATGGATGATAGAAATAAGGAGGCAGCCCAGGCTGTACAACCAGTGAGGCGTAAGAAGCCTCGAATGGAGAAGAACAATACCTGATGTACGTACATGGCTTATATTCCTCTAATCTCTGCCTGTTCACGTGTCTGTCTAAATGACTCGGAAACGTTGCTATCGTATCCGCTTCTGCCACCTCCCCTAGCAGCATGTTCCAGGCACCTACCACCCTCTGCACAAAAAAAAACTTACCTCACATATCTCCCTTAAACTTCCCCCTCTCACCTTAAACCTATGCCCCCTAATATTTGACACTTCCACCCTGAGAAAAAAAGACTCTGATATCCACATGTGCTTCTCACAATTCAGCAAATCTCATTTGTACAACCTATGAAGAGTTTGTATCCTTTCCAAAGTGCTATGCCCCAGAATTGCACGCATTACCCAAGGCTGAACTTATGTTTTATACAGATTTAGCATGGCATCCTGTATTGTAATCCAAAGTCTGATTTATAAAGATAGGATCCCATATACTTCATTTACTGATTTGTTAACTTTGCCTGCTTTGTTCAAAGATGAGGGCACAAAGACCAAACCAATGCATACTTATTTGACTGTATTACCTTTCTGCTTTCTTCCTATGAAAATGCATGACCTCACCCTATTCTGCATTGAATTGTTTGCTGTCTGCTGACCCAACTTGTGATCTTTTGACTTCTATTAGTATCTTCTTCATTGCTTACAACATTGCCCAGTGCAGCCTATTCCTAGCTCTTAGGCTTCATGGCAATGCAAATTTCAAAAGTAGGCATTGTGTCTCCCAAGTCCAAGGCCAAGTCCAAGTTCATTAATATATGTTAAAAACAGCAGTTGTCCTCCAGTACCAAACCCTGCAGAACAGCACTGGGGTTTATCTCTTTCCATCCAGATAAACAGCCAGCTGATCATCAAAACACTTTTTTCCATTCTTTAGTCAGTTTTGTAACCATGCTACTACTGTCCCTTTATCTCATGACTTCAATTCTGCTAAGAAGCCGATAAAGTGTTTTGGAAGTGTGGTTGTGAAAGGTATGCTCTAAATTCAAGTACTTGCTTTCTTTTAATTTTATATGACGTAGCACTCAGAATAGTTAGAGATGTTAATCTTGAAAAAAAAAGATAATTTTTCATCAATCATTCAGCTACAAGCACTCAGTATCAGGTAAAGCAAATTCCTGTGCAGAATTAGCAGCTGCGTTATCTGTGCAGCATTTAAAAACAACTGCAGAATGGGCATTGTGTTTTGAATATGATTAGGTCTTGACCAGAGACACACTAGAAATTGGGCTTTAGGCTACATTTACAAAGCAAAGCAACATGTGTACACAAGCAACGGCCAGTGGTGGACCTGTTGGGCTGAATGGCCTGTTTCCACACTGTGGAGATTCTGTAATTCAGTGGCCCACTGCATTATTTTGAAGTCAGGAGAAGCAGGACCCTGCCCCCTAATCCACATTAATTTAACTACAAAACAATAAACACTTTTTTTTGTCACTGGGCTCATGTGAGACCAGACCAAATAACCGGAACGGGCATATTCTATGTCCAGTTAATGACTGTAGGCTGGAGCTGTGAGGGCATTAGGATCCTGATTTTCATATTTAATGACCCTTAAAGCCTCGTTCCAGTGGGCATCCTGAACAGTAGGAAGTTGCAGACTTACAGTTTGCCAGCATGCCTGAAGAGGATTGGATGTGAAGACCATAGACTGAGATTGGTCTATGGGAATAAAATTTTAGAGAGATGTAAAATGGGCTGCCTATTTGTTATCACCTGTTTTACCATTCAAAATCCAGCCCATTCATTCCACATTGGATAGTTAATCCACCTATGCTTTGCCTAATCCTTAAACTGTCTTTCAACCTACTTGAAGTTCATACAAAATGATTGTCACATTCCTGGCATAATGTTCCTAGCATAATGTTCCTGACATATTGCAAAACATTAATTGGACTGACCTGCATTTCAACCACCTTGCCCTTGCTGTTCGGACTGAGTGACCACTCATAGTTCACAATCTGATAATCATCGCTGCTCTGGTTTCCGTTCAGAGTAATGCTATTACAGGGCAGGGTTATTGCCTGATTTGGGCCAGCGTTTGCTATAGGGGGATAATCCACAGGTTTGCTGACAATCACCATAGCAGTTGTCGAGTTCTCAATTCCATCTGAATCAAGTACAGTGAGTCTGGAAAACAAGTTTAGCAGAGGTTACATCTTACACTCTCGCTTGTCTTTTCCATTTATCAATAATTAAATACAGTTTGACACTGTCTCCAAACGTATCTGATCTTAATCTTGCCTGTGAAATCCTTCTGTGCACAAATTGATTCGGGTGTCTTACATTGACTATTATTACACTTCAAAAATAATTCACCGACTGTGAAGTAGCATAAAGGTGCAATATAAACACAAGTTCTTTCCTAAATGGGCAACCTTCCCGTCTATGTTGTGATATGTTTTGACCTTCTCTCACACATGCACAATTCGGAAAACAACAAATCAATTGGCTTCAGAATCATCATCTCCTCTACATTCAGGAGATTTGATACATTCCAATTAAACAGGTGACATGTTGTACTCAGAGCCTATTAGCTTTTTCATACAAAAGTAAAGCTCATCAACAAAGCAGTTGGCACACTGAGCACAATTTAAAATATTTAAAAAATAAAATATTTATCTGTTCTTCCAAATGTCAGTCTGTGCAAATCCAATATTTCAGCTCTTCCAAAAACAAAGAACTGTGGATGCTGGAAATCCGAAACAAAACCAGAATATGTTGAAAAACTCAGCAGGTCTGACAGCAACTGTGGAGAGAAAACAGAGTTACCATTTTGGGTCCGGTGACCCTTTTCCAGAGCTGAGTTCTGCTTTCTCTCCACAGATGCTGCCAGACCTGCTGAGTTTTCCTAGCAATTTGTGTTTTAACTCTTCCAATTTGTCTTCTTCGTCTCTCTTTTCGTTCTCACATTCTGTCTCTCTCGTCCGTCCTTTTGTCAATTCTAGGTGCATCAACAATTTCTTCCCACACAGCTTTCCTGTAAATCTTTTCTTCTCTGTATGTTCTTTATTTTGTGTGGTTCTTTCTGTGTGCTGTCATTAACCAATTTTCCTTGTATATCTGTCTTCTTTTTCCTTAATGTCTCACAGATTTTACTTTTCCTCTTGTATGTCACAAAGACTAGAAGGCAGGTCAGAAATAATAGTTTCCATCTCTTTGTAATTGGAGACCTGGGACAAGCATGGTCCTGTTGCTTTCAAATCAGGAATTGTAAGCCAGGCCTTTGGTTGAATAGTACTGACTGGCAATATAGTACTAAAAGCTGAAATTTGAAGAATTTGTGACCCAGAGTTCAGGTTTGGGAGGAAACTGAGGAGCAAGAGTGGAGAGAAACAAATATTTCCACAGACCAATAGCAGAATTAGATTTGGGGCGATTATCTCTCGTACATGCATTAACAAAATGTTAGAGTGTGTGTATTAGTGAAGGAGAGATTCCAGGGATGTATACACCCAAAACAAGTGTTTAGTGCACTGTTAGTAGCTATTAGGCCTCATGAGCAGGGGGATTTGTGGCTTCTGAGAGATTTTAAATTCATAAAATGAATGCCAGAGAATGAGACATTCAGCTGATTCTTGACCTTGACATCTGAACTTGAAATCTCCCACTGAGACTCTCACTTTGGTGCTTAAATGCACTGTATTAAGGAACACCTAATACAGAAGGCATATCTGTAGAAGCAGAGATACAGATCCCTATGAATTAGAATTTGGGGAATGCTTTATTCAGGACAGTGCAAAAGAATATAACAATTCTGCAGTGCCTTTTGACAGCTAATGATTTGTTACTAAACTAACCAAGCAGACTTTTCTCTTTATTAACCTCACACACATCAGTACCTCGCACTGTTCATAACAATATCTTAACTTCCTTGGTATTTAGATTTTTAAAAAATCAATAAACAGGTATGAAAAAAAGCCTACAGCAACATAAAATAACAAGTCTCATCAAGTAATAGGTTTTATTACCTAAAGGTGTAGTTACCAGTCACTAGGTTAGACAAATGGAGGATAGCAGTGTTTGCTGATGCCTTTTGCTCTCGCAGGGGACCCTTAACCTCCTCCCAGTGGTAACTCACAATCCTGTCATCATCCATACTTTCTGAAGGAAAAGATGTTCACAGTATCAATCCTACTGACCGACTGTGTCAACATAGCACAAGAAAATTTACCATAGTAACCTCTGACTAAAAATGGCCCAAATACTTGATATCTTTTACAATATGTACCATGTTCAATTGAGGCTTCAGTAGGAAATAATCGTGTTGCCTTTCAATACAGCTGCCCACACAGAGAAACAGTGTTTGAAAATTTTTAACAAGGCAAATGTTATTTTCTTATTTAAAATATATTTATACAGTTGCTTAGCGTGCAACAGTGTCTATGAAAAATTGTTTTATGAACCTTGTGTGATTTGTGTCAGTTTGTAGCCCTCTCACCCATTAGTCAGGAAGTTGGGCGTTCAGGTCTCACCCGAGCAACTTGATTCCATGATAAAGGCAAACATTTTTGTGAGTGCTACATTGTCAGAGGAACTGTCTTTCCAATAAGACCTTCCAACAATGAACTCTGCTCTCTCAAAGGGGTGTAAAGGATTCTATGGCCCTATTCAAAGAGGAACAAGGGAATTCTGTCTGATGCCCTGGCCGACATCTATCTCACAATTCATACACACAAAAAAAGGATCATCTAAGCATTTATATCACTGCACTGTGTAGGACCTTAATTTTTGCAGATTGACTGCTTCAATTCCTATGTGACAACAGGGATAGCACTTCAAAAGTACTTTACCAGCTAGAAATCATCTTGGGAACATCCTAAATTGATGAAAGGCTCTATATAAATGCAAGTTCTTTCCTTCAGTGGTACAATGAGGGAACATAACACTGAAACACAGAGCCTGTGCACTGTCACCATAATGACTGTGACACACCAGTATTCTTGACAATCATTCAGTAAGATAACGGCCCTTTAAACATTTTTTCTTGATATTTATTTTTATCTTGATGGTAATGTTACTTACGGCTGCCATCAATAAATGTTGAGGTTGTAGGCAGGGAAACTTCTTGTATCCATGGTGAGGCAATGGCTACTGGTGGTTGATTGACGCGAGGAGCTTTGGGAAAGATACGTCACACATTACCAAGAGTCTCATATTGTTTGTACTGTTTATATTAAAATTAAGAAACACAGTATGACAATTTTATATCAGCACAGTTACTGGTTTTAGTGAGATGCTATTTGCTCCAGTGTATGCTGATATATACAATCTAGCTCTACATAAGAACATAAGAAAAAGGAGCAGATATAGGCCATTTGGCCCCTAGAACCTTTTCTTCCAGTCAGTAAGAATGGCTGAACTGGTATTGCCTTAACTCCACTTTGCTGCCTGTCTGCCAAAATGCTGAACTCCCTGGTTAATCAAACCTGTCTAATTCAGCCTTCAATATATTCGATGACCCAGCCTCCATTTCTCACTTGGAGAGAGAATTCCAAAGACAAATGACGTTCATAGAGAAGAAATTCCTCCTCCTCTCAGTCTTAAATGGAAGACCTCTCACTCTGAAACTGTGCCCTCTCCTTCTAGACCACCTCAGGAGGGGAAACATTTTCTCTACCCTGTAAAGTCCATTGAGAACCTTTTCAGTTTCAAAAGATCATCTCTCATTCTTCTAAACCCTCAAGACTATAGCCGTAATGTGACAGTACTGTGTCTATAGGAGATGTGTCCTGTACTGTTTCTCTTGCAGTGTGTGGCAATGGTACCAAAATGTCTCCTTCAGACAGGCAGTTGGTAAACAGCTTTGAGTTCTCCCTGGGTGGCTTCTTTTAAAGTAAGACAAAAGAAGCATAAGTGGGCGGGGTCAGGCTCACTCAGATCCAAAACGACTTTAGTTTTGCTTTCAGTTATTTGGGTAGATGTTTGCTGGATGCTGGTGCTGAAAGCTTGAAGTCTCTGCTGCTAGTGAAGTCCTACACAGGGAGGCTTCCTCTTAAAAACAAAAAGAGGCAGATTTTTTTCTTTCTACTGGACTAGAGAGAAGCAACATGTAAGAATAATAACTATGTAGCTGAATTACCTTTGCCAAGGTTGTATTTATGGGATGCTGCCTATATTGGAACAGTTGATGATTAGGGATTAAATAATACATTTTCTCGTTCAGTATTTCAATAGAGTCAGGTTATGCCAATTCTTCATTGTGTAGTATTTTAACAGTATTGTAAGAATAATGTGTGTTTTGATTAAAGCTTACTGGTGAATCAATTGTATCATATCTGGAGCACAATGCCTTACACTTGCCTTTTCTAAAAAAAATAGAAGTTAGGGTCTAGGCTATCTCCATAATATACCTTTGGGGGGAGTGGTCGGGTCTGTTCCATAACACCAAGCTGTTCAATCTTTCCTGATAAGAAAGTCCCACCATGTCTAATTGAGTGCCAGCTGTAATTCTGGCAGTAACACTCTGGAGTCAGAAGTTGTAGGTTCAATGTTCTTGATACCCGAGTCTTGGCTGACACTCATTAAGGATTAGTTACATTGTCAGCGGCACTGAGCAGAATTACCTTTTAAGAAAGGTTTGACAACCTTCATAGATAGTAGGAACTGCAGATGCTGGAGAATCTGAGATAACAAGGTGTAGAGCTGGATGAACACAGCAGGCCAAGCAGCATCAGAGGAGCAGGAAGGCTGACATTTCGGGCCTAGACCCTTCTTCAGAAATGGGGGAGGGGAAGGGGGTTCTGAAATAAATAGGGAGAGGGGGGAGGCGGACTGCAGTGGGAGAGAGATCCACTGAGGTCTTTCCGGAGGGTAACTTCTTCAAGGTAGGCATCCTTAGAAGAGGCTTCGCAGTGGGGTAGCTCTACACCTTGTTATGACACATCTTCATGTTCTGTTTAGAGATCAATGGCTGGCAGCTCTACTGAATGGCAGCCCGCCAATGGTGAGGCAGGGGTTGCTGCCAATAAACACCCATCTGAAGCTGACGATTGGACTCAAGCCAGAGTTGAGTGATGGCAGAGTGGGGTTGTGGGGTGGGGCCTCATCAGCAAAGGAAGTCACTCTCAGCAGGACTTCCACTCCTGATACATGATCCTGTAACCAGGCACTGAGTGACATTGATCAAGGTCCTCTCCTATGAGGCCACAAGGAACCCTGTGTGGGTTTGTCTGTCATACATTCTGCATGACAAGCCATCTGCCTCTCGCTGGGTTAACACTGGTGGCAGTGGGAAGTTCCCCTCAAGTGCACACTAATTGCCCACTTAAGGGCTTTCCCACCAGACATCATACGCTCACATTTGATTATGTGCCCCCTCACCCCATCACTACAGGTGAGGCGGGGGCTGGGGGCGAGGGGTGTTAAGACTTGACTTGATTTCTCTTGCATGAAATATTAAACTGAAGCACAGTCTGCCCTTTCGGATCAATGTAAAAGATTCAGTGACACTATTTGGAAAAAACAGCAAGGTGGATCCCTCTAATGACTGGGCCAGTATTTAACTCTCAATTATAACTAAAACAGATACTGGTTGTGGGACACGCTATGTGCATGTTAACTGCCAAGTTTCCTGTATTGGTCGTGATCTTCATAGAGATCAAAAATGATATCTGAACTCTGGTGACTTACTGAAAGGATCACATAGAAAAATTTCAGACTTTAAGTCGATGACTGCATTGAAAATACCAAAGAAATTCTGAAGACTAGTTTAAATCTAGTTTTAAAACAACTAAAAATCTCCTTCCATGGTTATATTTTACTCTATCACTTAAGTGGACAATTCATTTTCTAGGAACCAGTCTAAAGCTATTCTCTGTTTTTGATGGCGCATTTCCTTTTTCTATTTCCAGCTTAGTTACTTCTAATCACCAAATTGATTTTTATAGGCAGGGCTATGTTGGAGATTCTTCCTTTTAGCCAAAGGTCAGCAGATTTTTCAGTCTTATTTAAATCCCCGTGAACTTAGTCTCTTCAGTCCAAGGGCAAATTTCCACCTGCATTCTGCAGGATGAACAGTAGAAACAGTATATTTCCATCTCTCTCTCTCCCCGAGATTCTTGCAGACTGACTTGTCTCAGCCATTTTCTGTCGAATATTGGAAAATCCTGCGAGCTGACAGAACTCGTTCCACCTCAAAGCCCTTGGCATCACATGGACCTTGTACCTGGGCAGAAATGTTGATGAGCTATCCTTGAGACCTGCAACTTTCTTCCATCTTTGAAATAAATGGACAGTTTAAGCCACTACTGATTACAACCCTATCTGTTTTACTTGCAACAGCAAAACTATGACGCAAGCCAAATGAGCATTTCAACTATAAACCAAAGGCATTCATAAATTAATATACTGCAAAATTTCATTAAAAAATTTAATGAGTGCATTGTTCACATGGGTACAAGCAATCTTATAATAATGCACAGTTCCAATGCAAATATAAGCATGAGATGGTGCTTTATCATCTAATTATTTGAACATTTTCAAAACTCCTTTGTGAAAGGAGAATATAAAGGATGCTTCCACTCTCAGAGTCATAGAGATGTACAGCACAGAAACAGACCCCTCGGTCCAACTCGTCCATGCTGACCAAATATCCTCAGTAAATCTAGTCCAAATAGCCAGCATTTGGCCAATATCCCTCTCAATCTTTCCTACGCATATACACATCCACATATGCCTTTCAAATGTTGTAATTGTACCAGCCTCCACCAACTCCTCTGGCAGCTCATTCCACCCTCTACATGAAAATGTTGCCCCTTAGCTTTCTTTTAAATCTTCCGCCTTTCACCCTCTAGTTTTGGATTCCCCCAGGGTGGGGGAAAGGCCTTGTCTATTTACCCTATCCACGTCCCTCATGATTTTATAAACCTCTATAAAGTCACCCCTCAGCCTCCGATGCTCCAATGAAATAGCCCCAATCTACTCAGCCTCCCCCTACAGCTCAAACCCCCCAACCCAGCAACACCCTTGTAAATCTTCTCTGAACCCTTTCAAGTTTCCCATCATCCTTCCTTTAGCAGGGAGACCAGGACTGCACACAGTATTCCAGTAGCAGCCTAACTAATGTTCTGTACAGCCTCAACATGACCTCCCAACTCCTATACTCAATACACCAACCAATAAGGCAAGCATACCAAATGCCTTCTTCACTATCCTATCTACCTGTGACTCCACTTTCAAAGAACTATGAACCTGCACTCCAAGGTCTCTTTGCTCAGTAACTCTCCCCAGAATCTTGCCTTTCCAAAATGCAGCACCTCACATTTATCTAAATTAAACTCCATCTGCCACTCCTTAGCCAATTGGCCCATCTGTACTCTGAGGTGACCTTCTTCGTTGTCCACTACATCTCCAGTTCTGGGGTCATCTGCATACTTGCTAACCATATCTCCTACGTTCACATCCAAATCATTTAAATAAATGATGGAAAACAATGGACCCATCACCAAACTTTGTGGCACACCACTGGTCACAGGCCTCCGCCACTGCCCTCTGTCTTCTACCTTCAAGCCAGTCTTGTATCCAAATTGCTAATTCTCCCTCTATTCTGTCTGATCTAACCTTGCTAACCAGTCTACCATGAGGAACCTTATTGAATGCCTTACTGAAGTCTATGTAGATCACGTCCACTGCTTTGCCTCATCATCCTCTTAGTTATTTCTTCAAAAAACTCAATCAAGTTAGTGAGACACGATTTCCCATGCACAAAGCCATGTTGACTATCCCTAATCAGTCCTTGACTTTCCATATACATGTAAATCCTGTCCCTCAGGATTCCCTCCAACAACTTGCCCACCACCGATGTCAAGCTCACCGGTATATGGTTCCCTGGCTTTTCCTTACTGCCATTATTAAATAGTGGCACCACATTAGCCAACCTCCAGTCTTCCGGCACCTCAATGATACAAATATCTCAGCAAGGGGTCCAGCAATCACTTCCCTAGCTTCCCACAGAGTTTTAGGGTAGAACTGATCGGGTCCCGAGGATTTATCCACCTTTATACCTTTTAAGATGTCCAGCATTTCCTCCTCTGTAGTACGGACATTTTTCAAGATGTCGCTATCTATTTCCCCACGTTCTTTATCCTCCATATTTTTCTCCACAGTAAAGAATGACACAAAATACACATTTAGTATCTCCCCTATCTCCTGCAGTTCCATACATAGGTGGACTTGCTGATCTTTAAGGGATCCTGTTCTCTCCCTAGTTACCCCTTTGTTCTTAATGTATTTGTAGGATCCCTTAACACTATTCTCCTTTTTGCTATTTGCCAAAGCTATCTCATGTCCCCTTTTTGCCCTCCTGATTTCCCTCTCATGTATACTCCTACAGTCTTTATACTCTTCTAAGGATTCACTCGATCTCTGGTATCCATACCTGACATATGCTTCCTTCTTATTGTTGACCAAAACCTCAATATTTCTAGTCATCCAGCATTCCCTACACCTACCTGCCTTGCCCTTCACCCTAACAGGAACATATTGTCTCTGAACTATTATTATCTCACTTTCCATTTTCCAGCCATCACTTTACCTGCAAACGTCTGCTGCCAACCCCCACCTTGCCCCCCCCGCCCCCTCACCCGACACACACACACACACACACACACACACACACACACACACACAATCAATTTTTGAAAGTTCTTGCCTAATACCGTCATAATTGGCCTTCCTCCAATTTAGAACTTTAACTTTGAAATCAGGTCTATCCTTTTCCATTACTATTTTAAAACTCCCAACTCTCCTGATATAGACTGAAAGGTCAAGGATGAATCCTGTCAGCTCAATAGGCTCAATGGTGATTAGTTCAAACTGAAGAGGGAAAGGACCTGACAAAAGTGATTCCTCATCTGATGCTCACTAAACAGTATTGTCAGTATTACCAGGCTTCACGGTGACGTTGATAAAGCTTTCTCCATAAGCGCCTTCTCCAGACACACAGACTCTGAAAACGTATAGGCCATCTGACAGCTGAAAATAAAAATAACATTACATCAGGTAAGATCGAATTTTACAGCATAGAAAATATCGGTCAGCCCAATAGGTCTGTGATGGTATTGACACAGCTCGTAAACCTCCTTGCACCTCAGTCTATCTCACCCCATCATTGTATCCCTCAATTCCTTTCTCCCTCATTTACTAAGCTAGCTTCCCCTTAAGTCCATCAAGGCTAGCAGCTAAACCCCTCCAAATTCTCACCACTCTTAAGAAAGAATTCAACACCTTCAGATGCTAAGCACACTGTTTGCCTCTGTAATTAGTCCCACCTTTTCACTTTGCAGCCATCCATAATCCACCTGAGAACAGTAATTTCAATAAATAGTCTTTATGCATAGGCTGTTATTGCTATATTGAAGAATCAGTGAAGTGTATTAATATAAGCAGAAGTACTGCACTGAGCAAAACGTCATTAAAGTCTAAGCAGCACTATAATTGCATGCATTTAATTACTATTAGACACAGTGCTTTCAGGAGCAGGGGGTTAGACTTTCATTCTTCACCTCTTTTGAAATCCAACCCAGACTGATGGAATATTAAATTCCTTTTCTCCGCAGGTGATCAAGCTCTAATTTAAAGTGAATATGGGCAGTGAGTCTTAGCATTGCTCACAACTCTGTTTCTCACAGTAATAAGGTATTTCCCATTGGTAAGGGAAAGTTGATGCACATTCCAAATAATATACTTACAGAATTATTACAGAGCAGAAGGAGGCCATTCAGCCTATAATGTCTGTGCCAGCTCTCTGAACGAGCAATTCACATTTCCATCCCCACTCTGTTTTCTTGTAGCCCTGAAAACTTTCCTTTTCAGATAATGATGCAATTCTCTTTAGAAGGCCATGAATGAAGCAGTCTCCACCCAACGCCCAGGCAACACATTCTAGATCTGACCCACTTGGTGAATAAAAAGCTGTTCCTCACATTGCTGTTGTTTCATTTGCCAATCACAAACAATCCGTATTCCCTGGCTCTTGATCCTTCCAACGATGGGGACATTTTGTCTCCATCTCTGTCCAGACCCCTGATAATTTTGAATATTGCTTTCAAATCTACTTTCAACCTTCTCTTCTCAAAGAAGAACTACGTCAGCTTCTCCGATCTATTACATAACTAAAACTTCTCATCCCTGAAACCGTTCTTGTGAATCTTCTCTGCACCATATATAATGTCTTCACACCTTCCCTATAGTGTGGTGCCCAGACTAGGTCCATGCTCATTACAATACCACTACAAGTTTAGCTTAACTTTGTGGTTCTTTTACTCTACACCTATATGCTTAAATCCTAGGTTCCTGTATGTATTTTTAAAGGTGTTCTCTAACTGCCAGCCACCTTCAAATGATTTGAGCACACATACTCCCAAGACCCTCTGTTCCAGTATTCCCTTTAGAATTGTATTCTTTCATTTATGCTGCCTCCCCTCATTTTCCCTACTAAAATGAATCATTTCACAGTTCTCTGTATTGAATGCCATCTTTCACTTGACTATCTATCCACCAACTTGACTATACACTTTTTCAGTTTAGAATTATCTTCCTCACAGTTCACAGTACTTCCAATATTCACGTCATCTGCAAATTTTGAAACTGTGCCCGTACACCGCATAGGTGCTAACATCAATTCCTGAGGAGCCTGACCATAAACCTTCCTCCAGTCTGAAAATTAACAGTTCTCCTATTTGGCTTTCTTTTTTGTTGAATTGTTGGAAGAGAATTTTTTTATTATTATTATTCATTCACAGGATGAGGGCGTCGCTGTCTAGGCAGCATTTGTGCCCATCCCTAATTGCCCAGAGGGCAGTTAAGAGTCAACCACATTGCTGTGGGTCTGGAGTCACATGTAGACCAGACCAGGTAAGGATGGCAGTTTCCTTCCCTAAAGGACATTCCCTAAAGAAAATTATGTTAACACATCACGGGGAGATGATTTTGTAGTTGTCATACTTTGTCACGGATCCAAAATGATCTCGACATGATAATGTTATAATGGTAGTGAAAATAAACTTTCATTATTCAATTTTCATCATTTGACTTTGGTACCAGAGATGTTCATGAACTAAAAATTGTTTTTAAAATGGCAAATACTGTCCTAAAAGGATTGCTGTGATCATCTGACTAGGTTGAACCAAGCTCAAGATACCATCAGTTAATCTAGGCCAAATTCACATCATTATAAAAGGCATTATATCTCCCAGTTGATTCACACCTTTTTTTAAAGTTACAGATAGAAGGGTGTCTCTGAAGGAGTCAGCTTGGAAAAATTAATGAGTAGACTCAGCAATATGCAAAAGAACCTTAACCAACAGCTGCTTCTGAGCAGCAAAGGAGAGACAAGAAAATGGCTTTGTAAAAACTGGAAGAGCCTCTCTCTGCCTGTCGTATTGTCTCAATCTCAAACTCAGAAACTAGCCAATGAAAAGCAATTTGGAACAAGAATCCCAATTCACTGTACATTCCAGGACATCTGCAACTTCACATTTACAGAGGAAACCAGAGCACGGCTGAACACAGAATCATAGAATCCCTACAGTGTGGAAGCAAGCCTTTAGGCCCATCAAATCCACACCGACCCTCAAAAGAGCATCCCACCCAAACCCATCCCATCTAGCCAGCACATCCCTGGACACTCTGGGCATGGCTAATCCACCTAAGCTGCACATCTTTGGACTGTGGGTGGAAACCAGAGCACCCGGAGGAAACCCACACAGACACGGGGAGAATGTGTAAATGCCACACAGACAGTCACCCGAGGCTAGAATTGAACCCAGGTCCCTGGTGCTGTGAGGCAGCAGTGCTAACCACTGAGCCTCCGTGCCACCTGTATAGTTGGACTTGGGTATTCTCCTGTTCGTAATACAGAGGTTCTGAAAGAAACCAAAGCTGTGACTGCCTTTGCTTCCCTGTCTGTATCAACTATCCCTCACATCTCTCTTTCTTTTTAAGCCCAACCTGCATCTGAATGTATGTTTATTGTGGTGTTTTATAATATTTTTGGGGTAATAAAACATCACAATCTTTCACTTAAGAAAACCATGCAATTTGCTCCTTCATTTTTGATATGTTTAATTGATGTATGATATCTATACATGATAAAAGAAAGAACAACAATGCAAGTATTTATTGCAACAGACTGAAAGGAATATAAAAAAAAAGAGGGAAGTTGTGACCCTCTCCTCACCTGGTCATAACAGTAAATGCTTCTGAACAATGAAAATCAAAAACATTTTAATAGGAAAGCTTTGCTCAATAAAAGCCATTAAACTCTAATTGGCCTAAACTTCTACTTTGTGGACTTAGAAGCACATAGGTTTCCATTAACAGAAAGATGAATCATGTATTCCATCCAAGTGGTGTTTCATTTGTCCACTTCATACTTCTTGTTTAAATACTTATTATGGAATTTGCACTGGTCTCAGTAAACACAATTGACTTGAGAATCAAATTATGTTAAATGAATGACAAGGCAGCAATTATGATTAACTTCTTAAGCAATCAAATATATTGCCTGGTTGCCTATGCTAACATTCAGAATTCATTCTTTTCTACTGTTCTACTTTTGGAGAATTTAGAGCCGAAAAATAAAAATTAATTAGATATGACTACCAATCATATCACATTCTTATTAAATGTCCTATATGTCTCAACTTGTGACCAACAAGTTTTTTTTTTAAACCACAGTAGTCATTACTGCTCTGTATAGGATATGGCCACCACTTTACAGAAGTGCACCACATTACATACTCTCAGTTATGCTGGAAAAACTAGTAAGCAAGAAAAAAATACTGAGGGAACCTTTCATGGAGAACATTTAGAATCTTCTGGAGGACGATGTACATCCACCTGCAAGTTCCCCTCCAAGCCACTCACCATCCTGACTTTGAAATACATCGCTGTTCCTTCACTGCTGGGTTAAAATCCTGGGAGTACCTCCCCAGCAGTATTGTGGGTCCTAACTACAGTGCAAGGAGAGTAGCACTATGAGAAGGCAGCTCACCATCAGCTTTTCGAAGGGTAATTAGGGACAGGCAATAAATGCTGGCACAGTCAGCGACGCCCACGTCCTTTGAGTAAATTTTTAAAAAAGCACTGGCAGAGAGTTTAGCGCTGCTAATACAATCACTGTGTATGTGGAGCCAGAAGTCAGCCCTGATCCAATCATATCCGTGTCTGCAGATGCACATGCACTGAAGCCCAAGGAATCTTCACTACACTCAGCTCTGCTTGATGCCCCGCTTTCATGTTCCCTTGTTCAATCAGTGTCCTCCACATCGTTTTCCTCTCCCCACTCACTACCCCACTTGCCACCCTTCCTGTTCACTTAGCACTAGAACCCCTCCTGTCTTTTTCTTGTTTACCCCCTTGTTCCTGGGTAATGTGAACTGTTCTTTGTTGTAGGCACCTTGCTGTGACTTTTGCTGGTAGTAATATCACAGGCACTGCAACTGTATGGGCTGTGAGTGAGTTCTCTGCAGTTGAAGTGGCAATAAATTTGGCTTTCTGAGAACCACTTACAAAGCTCCCAACCAGCCAGAATGAATGAACGAACAGAAATGTATTGCTCTTGTATTGAGAGCTACTCAACTGAATGTCAACATGTCTGCCAACAATCCCTTGATCAATCAGCACAATCACAGAAAATCTTTAAGCTTGATTTTACAACAGCCCTGTCTCTCTCTTCATACGTTTGCATGCAATAGGAGAGGGAGGGATAGGAAACACTTTAATGGGAATTAGGTCCCTTTGAAACTGAATTTTTCTAGTATTTCCTGACCAGCATGAAACCTCGTGTAACATCTGCTACAGCAGTTATTTTCTTTCCCTAAGCATAAACGATTTCTCATCAAAAAAGGACAAAAGGATGATGACATAAAGACCACCAAGGACATCAAGTTCCATAATTGACACCAAAGCACTACATGGCAATCATATTTGCCCAATAATCATTGGGCTATTTGAGAAAATAAAAGTTTTGTTCCAAAAAAATGTGAACTAACTTACAGATGTAGGTATGAAAAGGGGACACTCGAACGGTGAGGACTCAACCTATGCTCACTGGATCAAAAGGATTCAGACAAGTGATTGACAGAGGTCAGATTGCCTGCCTCAAATCCAGGATATATCAACAACAAGTGCTCAGAGTCAGAGGGAGATTTTGTATGATTAGGGCTTCATCTTTTTCAGGGAGCTGGCTGCTGCCAGTGGAAGGTGGACCAGAAGAGATTGAGTGAAAACCTAGAGAAGAATTTCCTAACACTTCAGCTAGAAAGCAGGATGCTGCCTTCACAACTTTAAAGAGATCGAGACACTCTGTGCCAACTGCCTGTGCATCCTCTGATGTCAGCAAACCATCCTCAACAGTCACAAGTTGTACACTTCTCGTGTCTAACTAATGTATTATATCTAAACTGCTGTTTCTTAACAAACTTTATAATCTGAATAATCTTTACACATGGTTGACTGCCAATCTAAAGTACCTGTGGTCCCAAACTCCTAAAATCTAGCAAAGAATAATTGAAGGCCTGAATTGCAGTCTTAAGACTGGCTCACACGTTATAAAAGGGGAGCCGAATCCATTACAATGTGGGCTTCAGAAATTGCAGTGAATTCGCAATGGACCAATTTTTCTGGAAGGTCCCTGCTGAAACACAAATATAGTTTTCACTTTCATAGTTGGTACTTACTCCATTTTTTTTAAAATTTGAATTGATTTTCTCCCTTTACCTGAGATAGCTTCAGTGTTGGAGAGTCCTTGCCTTCCATTACACCCTCAAAGTCCACAGGATGGCTCACAAGATTCCACTGATAACTGTAAGGTGATTCTGAAGGAAGAAAAGCATCAATATGAAGCACAGAGCAGATAAGCAAATATCAGTATGCTCAAAAATCGAAATCCTTTGTGCCTACCTGGAGTTAGCTTTCCCACCAGATTGCTGCTTTGAGATATAATCATTGGTGGCATGTGAAGGGACTTAAAGCATCCCATCAATATTTATCCTTTAACCAACATCACTAAACCAGATTATATGGTCATTATCACACTTCAATTTGTGACATCTTACTGTGCGCAAATTGGATGCTACTTTTCCCAAATTAAAGCACTTGTACTTGATTGGTAGTAAAGTCAGGATATCCTAAGGTCATGTTTGAGGCTATATAAAGATAAGGTTTTTTATAATATTAAGAGGCAAAGTCTTGGACACAAGGAGGAACTGCTTATGTAGGAGTTTGACAGAGCTTCATACTGTCAACCTGTAGGCAGAAAGCAAGCCACTTTCAAGTCACAGAGGCAAAAGAATGACCATTACGCTGGAGAGACATTCCTGAAGGCGTAAGAGGAGGAGGCAAATGTTGAGCAAAGGAAAACTAACTCACCCTGAGGGAAAAATCAGTTAAAATAAAAATTATTTTTGGAAATGATCATACTGGAATTCCATTTTGAAGTAATCACATCAAGTGGGACCAATATATAACATCTCAAAATTTTGCTGATTTTTCCTTCTGGGCAATTAATCTTAAGGCTTTTGATTTGAGGACAATCATTCCACTTCAGATACGCAAACCTGACGGCTAGTCATTTATTTAGAGGGGAAGAAAGGATAATAGATATAACTACAAGTACAATTAGCCCAGCTACGAGCAACTTTTGGTTTGCTAAACTAATCATCACAATGAGAAATAATAACTTAGAAGCATAGGAACAGAAGTGGGCCATTTAGCTCCTCAAGTCTCCCTGACATTCAGTGAGATCATGGTTAATCTAACTCCAAAAACTCTCCCTTTTACCCACATTTCTGATTACTTATTTAAAATAAATTTAAAATAAGTATCTGTTCTGGTATCAACTGCCATTTGTGGAATAGAGTTCCTAACTTCCATCACTCTTTGAACGTAAAAACATTTCCTAATTTCACAACTCAGATCCATGGCTTTAATTTTCACGCTACTTCCTAAACACCTGAACCAGTGTTTTTTTTAAGTAAGTACAGTTCTTGTCCACTAGAGCAGCGGTCATCAAATGAGCATTCGTGGGGAAGGCATAATTTAGTCCTTTATTGCAAACTCCCGCTCACTCCCTATTCTGGCTCACACCATGGGTGTGCTTCCCCACTATTCCTACTCCACCTCTGTTCCCAGAGTACCACCTCGCTGTTCTACTCTTCCTGGATCCCTTCCAAGGATGGACAGACTTTGCAGTGAACAGCAGGCACACCCATCAAGTTGATATCTGTAAGTAAATATCTATCTCCTTAAAAGCTTTATTAAAACATTATATTCAACACTCTCATGTTATACAGCATTATAATTTAGTTTGAGGAAGTAGATGTGATTATGAAAAGAGATCATTCAAACAAGGAGGTTGGAGAACCACCACTTTAGGGAGATAAAATGGTACTTTTTAACGTTAATATTTTTATTTGAACATGTCCCACTGATAAGTTGATTTACTCATCAACAGATTTGTCTGACTTCCTGTCCTCAGACTTAGTTTCATGTTATTGAAAAACATCAGCTTTATATAAAATAGAATCTTAGCAGCGGTTTTGCATTCCTCCCTTCCAAACACGACACTGAACTCGATCATTTCATGAGTGATATTTCATAAATATTCATGCATCTTTGGGCTATAAACTAAATCTGGCTCATTACTCACTATTAAATCCATTGTGGTTTGTCCCTTTGTTAGTTTGAGGTTATACTGTGGCAAAAAAAACTCTCCTGAATGCACAAACATTCTTTTTTCCCCAAGTTGCTGCTGACGGTTAATCTGTTGATCCCAACCTAATTCTGGGATTTAACAGGCCCATAGATTAGCTGGAAAGCTGGGGGAAACCGGTCTCCATCAGTCACAGCCCCGAATGAATTTTACATCAGCCAGACAATTAATTGCCTGCAGTAATGGTTCCCTCCCCTCTATGATCCCCCCACCCCACTGGACTCCCAGAGTCATCAGCCACTCATTGCATCAGTCTTTATCAAACACTTGTCCAATTTCGGGATTCATACACTCTGCTGTTAACAGGGGCTCTATTTGGTCTTAAATCCTTTTTATTATTCATATCTATTAAGTTTTGACTGAACACTTCTTTCTTAATATATCCTCTCCTACTCTCAAAATGATTTGACTTTTAATCCCAAAAGATCCCTTTTATCAGTTTCCTGATCTTTCCTGGATTTGGAACAAGGAACAAAAGTAGGCCACTCAGCCCTTCAAGCCTATTCCATCATTCAATACGATCATGGCCGATCTGATTTTAACCTCAACTCCACACTCCTGCATACCCCCAGAAAATCTTTTATTCCCTTGGTAATCAAGAATCTATCTACTCAGGCCTTAAAAATATTTAAAGATCCTGCATCCAGTGTCTTTTGAGGAAGGGAATTCCAAAGACTCAACTTTCTGAGGCTCTTTTTTTCCCATTTCTTGTTAAATGGGCAAATCCTTATTTTTAAACTATGGCCCCTCATTCTAGATTCCCCCACAACCCCACAATAGGAAACATCTTTTCCACATCCAGCCAGTCAAGGCCCCTCAGGTGACCAGTACTGTACAGAATACTCAAGATGTGGTCTCACTAATACCCTGTACAACTGAAGCATAACCTCCTTAATCTTGCATTTGATTCCCCTCACAATGCAACATAACATTCTATTAGCTTTCCAGATCATTTGCTGTATCTGCATACTAAGCTGCTGCAATTCATGCACTAGGACACAAAATCTCTCTGCATCTTAGAACTCTGGAACCTATATAACTTCCATTCCCATCCCTTATCCTTCAGCAATCCAATTCAGCCATGTCTACATATCATATCCTGTGAGCTAAATTCTGTAATTCAGTTAATTTGTTCCTTTGTTAAAGGACACTTATTTGGTTCTAATCTGTCCTGCTCTAATGTAACTGTTTTCAATTTTTTTAAACTTCTTTCTCCTGACTTAATTACTTTAAACTTCTAGTTTTGCCTTTACTTGCAGTGCTTAAAACACAAATTCTAACTCTTATGCTACATCCTTCCTTCTATTATTATTCACACCCCCTCTTTTATTTGTACCCTATTGCCTGCCACTGTCCAATTCCCCCACTACGATATCCCCATCCCCGACATTTACTGATGTCATCCTTTGTGCTGGTCTAAATGTAATTATATTCTCCCTCCTCCTTAAGCATATCATCAAGATTTGACAATCAGACTGGCTTTATTTTTGGCGTCTGGTTGACATCATTTATTGGTAAGAACTGATATCACATCTAACTTGTTTGTTTGTTTTATTCAATTTACTGACAGATTACCGATAGCATTAAAAAAGACCCTGTGCACATACTAACAGAAAACAATCTGGATCATTAGAATGAAGATGTCTTTTGCTGTAAAAACACGAACTAACCTCACTACCTTCAATCAGGTAACAGAATTAAACTCTCCAGGCAGGACTTAGCAATGAACGTGTGCTATAGACAGATGTCAGAATTTTTCAGATCATCATCTGAAAACTGCAAAGTTTACACGAAACCTCAACATAACCTTACAGGCAAACACAATGAATTAGTTACAACAATATTTTAATAATGGATAAACATGTAGAAGTACGCATGTTGTGTTTTCAATTTCATAATGCTCCATGAAGGAGATAGATGTATTCCAAAATCATCCACTGATATTTCTATAATGCTAGTGTGCACAGCAGGTTAGGAACTAAGACTGTCCGAGTTCAGTGCAATAACTGTTTTAGTGGTAAAAAATAGTTTTTAAAAAGTATGATTATTAACTTTAGTTCAAAACTACCTTTATGGACTTCAAAGCAATGCAAACTCTGACATTATGCATTTTGTTGCTTTCGACATAGTGCCGATGCATTGTCCAAACATTTCCTGGATCCACAGGATACTGATGCTGAAGGGGTGCTTTGTTAAGGCTGGTGAAAGGCTTAGAACCAGTGGAGGGGATGTTTGACTCCTGCTGAACCTAACCTAGGAATGCTGATGCTTGGCAATCAGAGAACTAATATTTGCCTAAAATAATGTAAACCACTCAAGGAAATTAGTTAATTAGTGATTCAGTAACATTCTGTTGACTGGTCAACACCTACATAGGACTATATGGAATCCATGCACAGAAACAACCAGTCCCCCACAAGCCATTCAAGTCTCCTCCCATCTTTCTTCATCCAAATTGATCAATGTAACCCTGTATGCCTTTTTCCTTTATATGCTTGCCTAGTTGCCATGAAATACATCCACAGTATTCACTACAACCATTCCCCGCAATAGTGAGTTCTATATTCCCATCACTCTTTAGTTTACGATATTCTTTTGAATTCCCTATTGAATTTTTTGGTGACTATCCATTCTATCAAAGTTTTTCTTAATTTTAAAGATCATAAATATGTAACCACCACCATCCCTTGAAAGATGGTACCAACTACAATGCAGCACTCCTTCACTACTACATCAGGAGCATCAGCAGAGATTACATGCTCAGATCTTTGGAGTGGGATTTGAAACCACAAACTTCAAACTTAGAGATGAGAATATGACCACTGTGTCACTGTCAATAAAGTGATGTATCAAGCCCTGTGATTGGTAGGCAACCAAACCAATTTGAAGGTAAGATGGTGACAAAGTGGTAATTTCACAGCCTGGTAAGCCAGAGGTCCAGGCTGTCGCTTTAAGGATATGGGTTCAATTCCCACCATGACAGATAGCAGAATTTAAATTCAATTCGAGAAAATCAGAAATGAAATGGAACTGTCAGTCATGAAGACTATGACAACTATCACTCATTCACTCATGTCCTCTCAGGAAGGAAACGTGCCATCCTTACCTGGTCCGGCTTCCATGTGACTCCAGACCTACAGCAATGCAGTTGACTCTGAACTGTCCTTTGAAATGGCTGACCAAACCACTCAGTTCAAGGATACTTAAGGATGGGCAACAAATGCAGACCTTGACATTGACACCCACACCCAATGAAAATAATTTCCAAAAACCATGCCACTTTGTGATCAGCTGAAGTTGAGATATGCAGGTTGCCTCGATGCACATCTCTAAAACTTGGTAACAAAGTGAACAGCGAGGTAATGCAACCCAATTTCTGGACAGGTAGGAAATACAAGGCTTTTAACAGTCCCCACACATACTTCATTCAGCAGTTTTCTTGTTTGTTGGTTCAGCAGTACTTCTGCATTGGTTCACAGCACCATTCAGACTTCAGAGGGCCTGAAATTTATGACTCTCAAAGCCTTTCAACCATACTATGTTCAATGCAGAAATTGCAAGTTGAAATCTTGCTCTCAGTACTTGCAGCATGAAAATTCTGACCTTAAATATTAATTAGGAATGAAAATATCAATAGCTTTGTTGCATGTATATATGGTATAATTTTTTTTGTGAGGTGAAATCATAATTTTGAATAGTTGCATCAAAATGATCTGGCAGTAAGGAACTTGAAGTGCTTCAGCAGAAAGGTTAACTGGCCAGACACCTGTGATAATGCGCAACACTGCAGGCTTAAGCAGAAATCTAGAATGCCACTTAGCGCAGCTCTGCAGGAGTGCTATACTATGAGGGTGGCATATTTCGGATGAAACCTTCAACAGTGGATAAAATGTTAAACATCTCCAAGGTAGAATTAAAATATTAACATGTTATTTGCAAAGAAGAGCAGAAGAAGCCTGTCACTAGCTGGCCCCCACCAGAACAATGTGCCTCTTTGATACTGTGCAAAGATCTGTTTGCAAATGCAGTGAATGATTATATTTTAATGTAAGCCTCACCTGCAGATGGTGCAGGAACCACAAAAGTATTGAGTTCCACCGAATTTTTGGGTTGCGTGATCACTATGTTACTTCCAGCGGATACAACAAGCTCCTTCACTGTGGGGAAAAAGAGAGAAATAAAGAATACTAACATATTCAATAAAAGCAACAATAAAAGGTTCAGTCAACAACACTTTATATATTTAACGCAGTTCTGCTCTCTCAAGATAACAGTTGTGAATCAGTGAATAATAAATTCTGTAGCATATGGGATAATTCTTCAGCTACCTACATTGGGACCAATTTTTAAAATCACATTGAAAGATAACCTGGCTTCAGCATTATAAAACATTCACTTAAATACCACCTTTCAAGACCTCATGATGTCCAACATGCTCTACAGCAAACAAAGAACTTTTGAAATGAAGTAGCAGATGTAATTTTGGAAGCATGCGGCCAATACATGTACAGAAAGATCCCACTAACAGTAACATGATCATGCACAGAAACTTTGATTTATTGATGTAGGTTAAGAGAAAGATGTTGGCTAAGACACTGCTGTTTTCCAAAATAACTCTATGTGCTTCATGAGAATGGCTGTGAAAAAAAATGCTTGATGAGTGAAGTTTGCACTTGTGTATATAAAAATAAATAAACATACCAACAACTAACCAGCTAAAACTCAGGGTTCAGGTAAAGGCATCTTTTAATTTTAAGCTTCATCAGTAAAAAATATAGAACAAAGTTTATGTATAGAAGTATTTGTAATGGGAACATCCTAAGGCCAGTTTTAAAATCATGAATATTGCAAATCTCTGAATGGTAAAAATACATAAAATTGTTTGGGACGGGTTGTGAGAAGTGCTATATGGAGTCTCTTTCTTTATAAAACAATGAATTACTGCCAATAATTTAAAGCCTTCACAATGGTTCAATATAGCCAGGGAGACACTTTGAACAATCTAACCTGTCTATACAATGTCAGTCTCTGGATTTTATCTGTGCTGGAACAGAAAGCTTTATGAATGCTACACATCAACACTCAACACTTTAATATTCCATTTGCCTTGCAAATCACTATGATGATGTTGTGTCTGATTTTCCTAAGCCAGTCAACTTTTGTAGTCATTGAAAAAATAAATGTTGAGGGATTTTATTCCATAGTATTAATAGGAAATATTTTATTTTCATTATTAATGACCTTGCAGCATTTTAAAAATGCACACTTTTGAAACAAATGACTTCTGAAAAAATGATAGGATTAATGATTTTTTTACAAAAATAGTCTATATTCAGTTATTTATTAAAAGACACATTTTATACTGATCGGTGAAACCTTGGTTAATTTATTTTGCACGAATAATTTGATACAGTTCATAGCTTTGGGAAATGGCACAGTTTTCCTGTAACAGACATGAATGCAATATCCTCTTGTTCTGTGCTGAACTTTCTAATGCTAACACACTATATCTAATTTTTACAAATTAAATTTTTTTGTCACCACAGTGCTAATATTGGCTATATACACTTGGTAAACAAGTGCAGACAGCTATTAACAATACTAAGATCAGTAAGCTCTCTGCAAACGTAAACACATTTGTTGGTTCTACAGCAGTATGAAAATGAACATCAGGTTTCAGAAGACTGAAAGCTCAACGAAGCACCTGTATTCTTCGTAACTCTTCTTAGTCACCTTAGGACATGGTTGGTAACACCCTCAAGGGATACAGGTTTGCACAATGGCATCTGAAGTTCAGGTGCAGAGGTCAGCACTGTCATTTGCTGATTGATTTAATCACAAGCTGATGGAGCACTCTGAGAATGCACACTCAAGATCACATGTAGCTCCCAAGCAAAAGCATCAACGCTCCAAAACTTGCCCCATAATTTTCTAGCATCATAGCATGTGTTATATACCCAGAACAGAAGTCACTTGTGTACACACATAAATCGGTCTCCTAAAAGTAACTACAAATGTAGGTTGGCTTATACAGATAGAAATAACGCAGACTTTTAAGAAAGATATGGCAATAATCATGGGTGATTTTAATCTACATATAAAGTGGATGAATCAGATTATCAGTTAGCCTGGAAAATGCACTCACTGACTGTTTTCAATATAGTTGCTTGGGAGCAGCACCGACAGTCAGCCAGAGGACAGATTATTCTAGGTCTGGTAATTTGCAAAGAGACAAGATGAATAAATAACCTCATTGTGAAAGGAGTCTTTAAGTAGGAGTGATCATAACATAATTGAATTTCACATTCAGTTTGAAAGAGAGAAGAGGAGAACCATGATTAGTATTTTACAATTTAATAAAGGCAATTACAAATGTTTGAAGACAGAGCTAACCAAAGTGAACTGGGAAATTAGATTAAGGGGTGGATAAACAGAGGTGCAGTGACATACATTGAAGCGGATATTTCAAAACACCCAAAGATAAATTTCAGTGAGAAAGAAAGATTCCACTGAAAATCACACTGAAAGATAACCTGTATCATCTGTGGCTAACTAAGGAATTTCAATATAGTATCAAATTGAAAGAAAGAAGTCAAGAGTTCTTCAAAGATTAGTTTCAGGTTAGGAGCTTGGCCAGACTTTAAAAAGCAGCAAGGAATGAAAAAATGGGACAGAAATTAAGGTATCAGAGAAAACTAACTATAAAGATAAAAAGAATGAAGTAAGGATATCTACAAGCACTTGAAAGGGAATAGAGTAATAAAAATAACCATAGGTCCTTTAGAGACAGAATCTGTGGAATTAATAGTGGGAAGTAATGAAATGACAACACCATTGAGTAGATATTTGGTGTCTGCCTTCACTGTAAAGACAAATATAACATCCCAGAAACAGTTACAAATCAAGAGGTGAAAGGAGGGTGAAGAACTTAAACCAATGACAATCACCAGGGAAAGGCTATTGAGAAAGCTATTTGAAATAAAGGCTGACAATTCCCAGGTCCTGATGCACTTCAATCTAGGGTCTTAAAGGGAGTGGATACTGAGATAATAGATGCATTAATTTTAATTTTCTAAAATTCCCAGATTTAGGAAAGATCCCGTCAGTTTGAAAAATAGAATCTATCACTCTTCCATTCAAAAAAAGGAGGGAGACGGAAAGAAGGAAATCACAAGGCAGTTACCCTAACATCTCTGAGAGAAAAATGCTAGAATCCGTTATTAAGGAGATTACAGAAGGACATTTAGGATGTCCCAATGCAATCAGGTAGAATCAACCTGGTTTTTCGAAAGGGAAATCATGCCCGACTAATTTATTAGAGCTCTTTGTGAAGTAATGCATCCAAATTTGCTGATAATACAAAGAAAAATGTGGCAAACAGAGTTTGAAGTAGGAAAGTATGAAGCAAAAGGCAGACTATTATATAAATAGACAGAGACTCCAAAAAGTGAAGTGCAGTGGGATCGGAGTGTTTTTGACATGAAACACAAAAAGTTAGCATTCAGGTACAGCCAGTAATTAAGGCAGTAAAAGCACTGCCTTTCCACTCTTCTCCCTCCTCTCCTGTACAGCTGGGCCCATCCATGGTACCATGGGCTTAGCTCTTACTGCAATCTTCCAAGGATCCATCACCCTCACTGATTTCCAGAACAGAAAACCACTTAATAATTAGGGTATCTGGATACTGCTGCATTAACTGCCTCATTCTCTTGCACTGCCTGACTGCCATTCACTCCCTATCTCCCTGCTTTCCCCAAATTTGTGGTGTGGTTACCTGTCCAAATGTGCTATCCACATAGTTCTCTGTGATGCAGATGCACCTCACTGCAGCTTGAGCTATGATACCTAGAGCTCAAGCTTGTACAGTTGGCGACACTTCCTGCACATGGGTTTACCTGGGTCATGAGACATGTTCACAACTCCCCATATACCAAGGATGGACTTCCCACTTGGCTGAACTGTCCTGCCTTTGCTTAACCTTAAACTTAGAAGTTAGGTTTCCTTACTTTAATTGACTTTAAGTAGAAAGTGAAACTTCTTTGGCCTCATCACAATAAACTCCCTCTCTTGTGCCTATATATTCTTGCTTTCCTTAGGATTTTCAAAACTACTGGAGTTGAAACACAGTCCCAACAGCAGCTGCTTAACAAACAACTAACTCACGGCTTCCCTGTGATATCAGTCTTAGACTTTTTTCTCAAACTCAGTTGAGCAACCCCGGAACGTGCTCCTTCACAGGTCTGACTCCTCTCGCCCCAGAAGGTAAGACAGTCAACAGTCTATGGAAATCCCTTTCCCAGAGAACAGCGCAGCAGGATCATTGAATACTCTAAAGACAGAATTAAGAGATTTTTGATTGACAAAAGAGTCAAAGGGTCTGGTAAATAGAGAGGAAAGTAGAGTTGAGGCCACAGTCAGATACGAATCCTGAAGCTACCCCAAGGACATCTTCCTTCCTGGGATTGGCAATGAGGCGGCTTCTTGGGGCAGCTTTGGGATTCTGCAGAGTGTTGCAGCCTGAGATTCCAGTGGCCCAGCATGGATGGCCTGCTGTAGCGGCAGTTTCCGGCCCAGTATTCCAGTGGACCAGCAAGGCCGTCTTGCAGTGGTACTGTCTTTTTCTAGAACCCAGTAGCTGTGAATTGAACTAAGTCGGACTTTGTCTTAATGTTTTTTTAATCTATGCATTCTGTTATTAATATAGGTGCCATGGTATGGCGCCTTAAACACTTTTAATTGTATTTTGCTTTTGTAAAAAAAAAGTGACAATAAATGACTATTCTATTCTATCGACTATAACCATCGAATAGCAGAGAAGGCTCAAGGAATTTTTTAAAAATGCAAAAGTTGTGGAGAAACTCAGCAGGTCTGGCAGTACCCATGAAGTGAAAACAGAGTTAATTTTTTCAAGTTTAGTGACCCTTTTCACTAAGGATATAAGCAGTGAGCTGAAGCTGCCAGGCCTCTAACCTTGGACAGCAGTCCCCCATTTCTCATGGCACACTCCATATCTGCATCTCTCTTCCACAGCAGCTGGCATCAAACATGCACCAGCCTCACCACATCATCATGGCACATCTGAGTCACTTAGAATAAATAATCTACTTCAATGCTACACTTTGGAACACACCAACACCTTTTTTTAAATTGCAATGCT